TGTTGTGTGTGAAATGTACACATTCTTTTTCCCCTTAATCTAATTATCCTGTTTAGAATTTAAAAATCAATAAACTGGAGTTAGACTGTTTTTCTAATATGACTGACAAGAATATCATCAAGGAATATTGATGAGAAGATCAAACATTCCCTTTTTTAGCAGCTTTGCTGTTATGTAATTATTTCTGCAGTGAAAACAGTCTTGATCATGACAAGATTGTATTCTAGATCTGTACACCACAGTGTCTATACCACTGCTAGACTCTGATAAAGATGACATTGATTGTCAAAAGGTTATCCTAAAGATAAACGTATTTAGTAACATTTTGTTTCTGGAGATAATAATAGAAATGTTTTATCTAAAATTGCAGAAAAGCTGATATTATTTTTCCCCAATTGTGACCTTAGTTTAGAATCTGGTTCAGAGTAATGTTGAAGGTTTTACTTTTTCTCGATATCTGTTTGTTTAGAGGAAGTTATGGATGGGGGAGGTGAGGGGAGGGCGCATATAGTGTTACCTATCTGTACCTGTCCCATCAGTTCTGAATCATTGTCATATATTTAGAAGCTGTCAATAGATTTGGTTCATATTTATCCTATAAAATATCATCAATTTTTACATAATGTCATATTAAGACAGTAATTGGTCAAAATCAGAAGGTCAAAGACCACATATGATAATTTCATCGAAGATACAATTGTATACATGGAAGATTAGGAAAATTCATGTTTTCTGGTTGTGTAAATGAGGGTCTCTATTGTGGTGATGTTTTGTATCTTGGGGAGCATGTCATAGTGTCTGACACAATCCAGGCCGCAAATCAGGGGAGGTAATCACCCTGACAACACATTTAACCTTTACCAAGAAGACTTAATTCAGCATATCAGCCCTGTGATTTTATCGGTCAGGATTCGTGGTTTGTGATGGGAAGATTTAAAATGCTTCTTCATCCCTTTATAAACACTTTGAGCCAGATTTTCATTGTCATCGCCAAAAAGAATAACTCTTAAGAAATCCAGACAACATACAATGGTGCTCTATAAGTAGCCTATGAGTGCCAATTACTGTAAACTGATAACAAGTCAGGGGTTTAAGGGGGTTTGGGGGTGAGGTGGGGGATGTTGAGGGGGTTGGGTTTTGCTTATTTTGCCAATGGTCTGACATATCATGAAATCATTCTCTGAGATCCTGATTGGTCTGTTGCCTTCCAAATATGTTCCAATACAATATCAGCTTCAGGTACTGAGCTCATGTTCATACTGTTTGTTTTTCAAATCTGGTGGCATCTGTTTAAGGCTACCTGGGTAATTATTAGTTAGTGTTACAGACAAAACAATATTTATTGGAGAGACATGTAATGGCAGGTTTTATTTATAAACAGTCAGCATATGTCAGTAGGTCCACAGAACTCCTGGTCTTACACAGATGGAATACATCAAAAATGAAGGAGAGAACTCATTGGCAAACACATTTTTGCGTGCTGAGATGATCCATTAAGCTCATCAGAAATTATCAGATCTGATTGAGAATTCTAATCAACATAGTTTTACTGAAAGCTATAGCCAAGCATTCAGTTTGCTAAATATGTTGTCTGCACTGTGAATGTCAGAAATTTCTCTAGATACCTCGTTTATTATCCAACATGAATCCCTTCCTCCAAAAGTGCTTTTGAACCTTTGTTGCTATAATACAAAGGACTTGTCTGCACCATCAATGATGTATGTCACTTGAGCACTGATGGTGCACCACTACTATTGTCACTGAGCCCTTACTTAGTAATCATTCTGTTTGCAGGCTTGGAACAGTTCTGGAGAAAAAAAATCTGGACAACATTTTGATGACATTTTGGGAAACAATGCCTATGAATGTTTGATTTGCAGTCTAATAGATTATTGGGTTTAATATAATCATCTCCATTATCTTGATGCTGTATAATACTATAATATATTATGTCACTGTTCCATGAGAAATTAAGGCTTATAATATTTCATCGCTGAATCTTTCAACATAGAAATTACTAAGGAGCTGAACCAACTAAATCTTTTAACACAGTATCCATACATAAGCACTGGTAATTAGGGAACATGCAAATACATTAGATACGCATTTGATTGTTCTGTACAAACCTTAAAGAGAGCCATTGAAAAGTAATCAACCATATGAAGGACATTATTGGACCATGGAGCTGTGTTTACTGTGATAAGGAATGAGGGATGGGTGGGCGGGTAGCTAACGGAGTCAAATAAGAGCCAATGACAATTGGTTATTTCAGAGCTGTTTTGACACTGTTACTGGGAATATTTCTTGCTGTTGATTGAGTTCCTTGGCAAACACTGCCATGTAACAGTGGTTATTTTTGGTTTCAGTCAGAAATAATTTGTGTACTATGAAATGTGAAGATAAATGTTATTGCGTATTAACATATCTGATGAGAGCATTCATTGTATGTTGAAGTGACATTCAGAAAGATAATTATCTTTGTATTTCTCTGAGAGTGTGTTTTCATAATTTACAATGAGCTTTTCCTTGAAAGAAGTGATTTTTTTAAAAACATAATACCGTCTCTTTTGCCTCCCCCCAACCTCCACCCCCAAATCCTCCACCCCTCTCCCCCACACACATACTGGTGATAGAAGGAGATGGTGACATGCCAAGATCACATACAGACGGCCGACAGATGATAATTCTTCAAGACAGCTGGAGTTATCTCCCCTTGTTCATTACACTATTCTTGTGTCTTGCTGGCTGTCTATGTATATATATTAAGTAGGAATTACATTTTGGGGGGGTTTTCGGGGTGTGTGTGTTTTACATGCAGGAGACTATATTTTATATATTTCACAGTACATTTGACACCAATGTAAGAATGTATTTTGTGGCTGATTGCAGTGGGAATCCTCTCTACAAGGATTTCAGAAAGATGATAGTCCATTAACATTGATTTGTGTGTGATATCGACCCTTTTCTAATTTATAGGTGTTTTAGATCTGGAATTCACTGTGATTTATTTTTGACCAGCTTCCATATCAGTTTCTACAGGGGAGCAAGTTTGAATTCTCCACATGGTTTTGTATAATGGCATATTGCCAGCCGTTCTGTCCAATTTACAAAATAAAACAACTTTAGTATGAATTGATTGATACACTACAGCTATGATATCAGATGATTCAACCATTTTTCTTGGTACTGAATTTGGTTAGATTCTAGAAATTTGATTAGAAAATAGAATCAAGCTTCAAATAATTTGAAGCATTGTCTGTTATTATTCTTAAAGAATTAAGTTACAGTTACAAAGACAGTATTGCACCTTTACGATAGTTGGAGATTGTGCCCTTACAAAAGGCAGAGATTGTACCCTTATGAAAGGCAGAGATAGACACATATTTCACACAGAATTGCACCATATCTTTATGATGCATAAAACTCACAGATATTTTAAATCGATTTTCTTTCTGCGAATGAGTTTTTGATGACAATTTATAAGTATACTGTGAATATATATGACAAATACACATTTTAACGTTCCCCAAAGGGCGAGCATACAGTCACTGCTTTGTCCGTCAGTCTATTCATCCGTCCATCTTAATATTGTCCGGAGGATAACACAAAAACGATAAGAGGTATTAACATAAAATTTTGTAGGTAGATAAATCTGATCAGGGTTAAGTGCAGTGTACAAGAAATATCATTGTCTTTTGCATAATTTCGGAGTTATTACCCTTTGTTATTTCTCACACTTAAATTTTGTCCATGTTGGTAGGGTAACCTTTCTCTGATGACCCTATTTGTTAATGATAACAGCCAGTGTTGTACTAAAGTTGACCTAACTGGATTCAAATACATGTGTATTAATTAGAAGTTGGTTTAATTGACCTTATATATTTCAATGGTATGATCTGTTGCTTCCTTGCCTGGAATGCGATGACTAAAGCTGCTTTCATTTTTGGAACTCTCCCATCTTCTTATTTTGCACATTCCACTGTACCAACTCTCATGTCTTATTTCTGGAGCCTGAAGAGAAGGGGTCAATGATCTATCTGTCAACCATGTCCTCTCGGTGCACGGTTTGGTTTCATACTTCACTTTCAAAAAATTTCAATCTGACAAACCTAAAGCAAAATTTTACTGTTCTCTATGAGTGAATAAAAATAGGAACGATATCTACCATCAAAATATTAGATAACTAGATGAAGCAGACCATGCTTGTAGTATAATGCTAAGTGGAACACACACCAAGTGAATACCTGAGATTCATGAAAGACATACTTACAACACATGCAGTGATTAAATATACTTCTAAAGAAATACTACTGTAGAAATATGCTGTGTGTATCAGATTCCTGTCTATTAGATCTAGATTCTTAAGTTTTTCCTGCACTATCATGTACTTGTAAATTTAGACTTTTATAGCAAAATATCATAATTTATGTGAAATATTTATTCTATTAACACATATTTCTGGATCAAAATGACTGCTTTTTAACCACTATAAATTGTTCTAATTTGGCGTTGCCAAATTTAAGCAGATCATCAATGTTTGGTCAATTTTGATGAAATCCTGATTCCAAAATAATTGCCAAATAAATAACATACAGAAGCTTTCGTTAGTGCAGCAAGGTTGTAGCGTAATGCTTTCAATGTGAAAAGCACTTAAACAAGATAGAATATTTTACAGTAATCAGAATTTAAAAACTGGAAGAAGTTTACTTCTGGGGGAGTTGCCTCCCATCCCAAATCATCAAAATCAATTTCACATCCACAGATTTAGTGAATATTTTTCCTGTAGTCTCAGTAACATATTTGATATGAATAGAAAGAGGGTCATTCATGTTTTATAAACATTTTAAAGTTATCACATTCTCTGAAAATTATTATCATTATTAAAAGTATTTGTATTGTCTGTCATTAATACATGAATTCATCATGTTGATTTGTGTAAAATATCTGAGAAATGTCTGTAGAAAGTCAGATGTTGTAATGTGGAATATTTTGTGTTTCAGGACCTGTCGTACAAGGATCGCCACTGGCACGAGTTTTGTTTTAAGTGTTTTGAATGCCAAAAGTCCTTGGTTGATCAACCCTTTGCTCCTAAAAATGAGAATATTTTTTGCTCCGACTGCCATGATGACAAGTTTGCTGCTCGCTGTGATGGATGTGAAAAACCATTCAGGGGAGGTAATCATTTTTTTAAATTTATTTATTCAATAGTAAGATAGACATATGTACAGTAATATCAGACTTTAAAAATCAAGCACACGTACATGTATATATCAGTCTTCATTGTCTTTCCACTTTTAGAGATCCAATCTTTTGCATTTATTTTTTTTAATTTTTTTTTTTTAATCACTCCTTTTTTTAAGCAGGCTGACTAGCTGAGTACTGTGTACAAATTGTATTACCTCTTAAATATCAGAGATTAAAGTACTTCATTTACAATTTTTTTAGCATAGAATCAATATTAGTTAGAGTTTATTACATTTTTCTTTCTGATTTTAGATACTATAAATTACTTGTTATATTTCTTCTAACATTTTCTGTGTTTTTCTTTATAACATTTGAATCACAAATCATAGACAGTAAGTAACACAACAGGCTGAAACTAAGCTTTCTTCAGCTGTGTCTAAGAAATATACTGGCTGTACTGCTCATGTCTTTTCCCCTGGCCAAATCAAGGGCTGAATCAACAGCAGTTGATATCGTACAATAACAATTTTGTCAGAAATGCATCAGCTATGTAACACAGCCTCCAATTTCCAATTCTGCTTTTGCAGCAAATCAGAAATAATTTTCTATAGTTCTTAAAATCGACATTGATTTCATCTTTTTTTTTGTCGAACACTGGCTGTTGCAAATTTTTAAAAGTGTGATGCACAACTTTGGTGATTGTTGATGTGACCCGTAAAGTGCATGGAAGATATAGAAATGATGAGGAGTGTGCTTAAATATCATTTAAATCTTCTGTCAGGTTTTTACTTCTGAAAATATTGTTAAATTTAATGAATGAGCTTTGTGAATGCTGAATTATAGAAAACAGTTTTTCTGTTGTATTTGGCTGATGTTGTCCATTTTGGAAAAGAGTTTTTTTGCTCATGACTGTAGAATAAGCAGTACACAGTCTGGTTTACAAAAAAATGTCTGTGTGATTTTTTCAGCAAATTTTTATCATTTGTTATATAACAATGTGATGGTTGTACTGTGTTAAGAAAAGCTTGTATGCCAAATAGAGTTTGAAATGTTATGTTCTTAAATATTCTTAATGAATTTATGAAAAAAAAGTTGTTTGTGACGAAAATGAAGTAAAACTTTTCCTGGTCCTATATGAGAGATTGCAGAATATCATTTTTAATTATATCTGAAAGCTGAAAAAGGTACATATTGAGGGAATAATGACTATTTTTATCAAGCCACTTAAATGGATCTGACTAGTTTAAAACACTTAATGAATAAATATATTGATTTAACAAAATGTGTATATGTAGATATATGAGTGCTTTCCTTTCCCTGCGACACAGGAGATGAGAGCACAGGAGTCCCAGGTATTGATAACACCTTAACAGCATTACATTCAACCTCGACAAAGTATTTTGCAGATTTGTAATAAAAAATGTCCTATACGTCAGTCCTCCCCAAGGCATGACTATAACAGATATGTAATTAAAAGTCAAAAAGCGAAAATTATCAAAATATAACTTCAACCAACTTTAATTAACATTACATTAGTCAATGGCTCCATGTCATGAATTTGTTTGTAGAATGTTTCTATGGTAACCAAAATCTGCAAAATGTTATGTCGGTGAATTGAAAACTGATAAAGTGCCAGTTTCTATTTTTTGTTGCTATTAAACAGATGCTATTGATGATATAATCGCTACAAGCTTTAGGCATGTTAACTCATTCTCTGCTAGTTGCATTAATTATGTAATGGACGTTATCGGCAGTTTGTATTATTCCAAGTTTGCCATAGCAAGATGAAGTATTGTACAGGGATGGAGGGTGCCATGTTTTATTTTCAGGGAGAAATGAAAGTTAGCATGTGATATATTTGATACCTTTATGTACAAAGAGAATCTGATTTGATTTCAACTCTTGTCACCATGATCCTGATTGATGGTTTAACATTCTGTATCACATGCTGTCAGTGTTTTAGTGGAAGAGTTGATGTGCTCATGAGTGTTGTAGAGCTCTTTGGCACAGTGGCACTCATGGGACTGTGATAAGCTAAGGGGTATAGTGAAGCCTACTGTGGAGCTCATGAGTATTGTGGGTCTCAGTGGTATTGAGGATCTCATGGGTATTGAGGAGCATGGAGGAGCTTATAGGTATTGAGGAGCTCATGGGTATTGTGGGTCTCATGGGTATTGAGGAGCTCATGGGTATTGAGGAGCTCATGGGTATTGTGGGTCTCATGGGTATTGTGGGTCTCATGGGTATTGAGGAGCTCATGTGTATTGAGGAGCTCATGGGTATTATGATGTTCTTGGATAAAGCTCATGGGTGTTTTGTAGTCCATTTCTGCTGTGGAGCTCATGGGTATTTTGGAGCTTGTGGCTGTTGTGGAGCTTGTGGGTATTTTGATGTTCATAGGTAAAGCTCATAGGTATTGAGGATCTCATTGGTATTGTGGATTTCATGGGTTCTGTGGAGAAACATACACTCCTGGAATACAGGTAGTGTATATGGCATATTGATAACTTTGGATCATTCATAGAGTTCATTCATGACTGCTCTTGGTTTACCGTATACAGGTGCTCAGACAGAGCTCATGGGAAGAGGTAGGTAATAGATGTATTTGATGACTAGGTTACAGGTGTTTATGGGGGGCATATTGTGTACAGGTGTACTGGTACAGAACAGGTGATCAAGGAGTCAGGTTTGACCAGGTTACAAGTGTTTATGGGAGGCATATTGTGTACAGGTGTACTGGTACAGAACAGGTGATCAAGGAGTCAGGTTTGACCAGGTTACAAGTGTTTATGGGAGGCATATTGTGTACAGGTGTGCTGGTACCGAACAGGTGATCAAGGAGTCAGGTTTGACTAGGTTACAAGTGTTTATGGGAGGCATATTGTGTACAGGTGTACTGGTACAGAACAGGTGATCAAGGAGTCAGGTTTGACCAGGTTAAAGGTGTTTATAGGAGGCATATTGTGTACAGGTGTGCTGGTACAGAACAGGTGATCAAGGAGTCAGGTTTGACCAGGTTAAAGGTGTTTATGGGAGGCATATTGTGTACAGGTGTGCTGGTACAGAACAGGTGATCAAGGAGTCAGGTTTGACCAGGTTAAAGGTGTTAATGGGAGGCATATTGTGTACAGGTGTGCTGGTACAGAACAGGTGATCAAGGTATCCGGCAGTGTGTATTATATAGAGTTCTATATATTACTTAGTACAGTCTTACCTGTAGTTTATCATTCTGTTTATTGTACAGTTATATTTTTAATCACATATAAGAGCGACTATCAGTATTAAGGTGGCGTGCTACTTTTGATGTATCACAGAATATAGAAATATTTTCTAATTTGTTTCCCAAATGGTTGTCCATTTTTTATGTCAATGAAATCTTTCCTACTGGATGAAATACAGCATATCAAATGTCTTTCCGACAGATAGAAAGGTTTATTTTTCACATCTATTAAGTGTTGAATATGCTCAGTGTTAGTCATTTAACAGACTATTGACATGGGCATTTGGAAATTTAGGTCAACATTCTGAAATACATGCAGATACAAGATTTTAGCAATTTTCAATTTTTCCACCCATCTTTTATACGTAAGGTATGACATCTGAAATGAGCTCTTCTTTAAAACACTCAACGAGCTCTTCTTTGTATTTTCAATAAGCTCTACTTTTTGTTCAAACTTTTGATACAATCAGGTGACACGTTTCAGCAACCAAAAGCTGCAACTTTAAAACTGTTAAAAACATTGCACCTCAGAAGCTTTCAATGTGTAATCTAGTTATCAGGTTACTGGTTTTCTTGATTACGACCTAATACATTGTGGCATGATTTTAAGTCGGCAATAGTTAAGATAAAAGGATTAGGGCATGGGAATTTAGGGTTCAGAGAAGAATGTAAAGTTTATGTATGGCTGAGAAAATATAAATGCTTAATTGTCGTTATAAGGTTCTCCTGTTTGAATAAGATTCCTCCAGGCTACCTTATGCCATGGCACGCATTCTGTCGTCCATTACCTTTCCAACAAACCAGTTGGTGTTATGATAATTGGCTAATAGATTTCTATGATAAAGCCCAGTCATAGTTTCTGAAAAGAAATGACCTTGATTCACGCTTAAAAGAATAGAAGCATGATATTTGGCTGAAATGTTTAAAGATTGAAGTCCAACAATGTTCGCATAAAAAAAAATTGGAGCCATTTTAAGCTCAAAGAGTTCAAAGGATTTCGATGGAGATAACAAAATAAGCTTATAGATATTTGTTCACTGGGATCAAGTTTGCTGAGAACTTTTCTGCTGAATGGAAATTCCTAGAATCATGGTGTTTTTACATGCAACACATTTTTCATTTAGTGGCTGAATGTGTTAAAAGAAATTACCTTGACATAAATTTGAAAGTTAAAGTTTGAATACTCTGATGTAATTTTCCCATTGACATAAAGATCAAGAGAATTTGGTTGTGAAATCAATAAATTATTGCTCAGGATAAATTATGTTGACCGGGAGTAACATAATTGTAATACGTTTGGCTATTGACTTCAGCCCATTTTGAAGACCAAGTAAGTCAGATGAAAGCATTGAATACCAGGTGGGGGGTGCTGGCCCATTTGGCCTCTTGTTTAATGTGAATAGGAGCATGAATCATTGAATGATGTTCTTTATACGCCAGACAGGCGTAACAAAATAGAATTGTTTTAAGAGTTCAAGGTTCTGTTGCTCACAATAGCTGATTAACCAAATTGAAACTGTATCTCATTCACTAGAGTGCCAAACTGTACACAAATTTACTTAACCTTGGTAATCTCAAATCTGACAGTTCAATAGACTTACAGGGTAAGTAAGCAAATCCACCAATCACTGAAATCCTTGTACATCACGTTATCATAAGGACTATCCACTTTTTGTAGTATTTCGTCATCCTGATGTTGCTGGTAAGTACTGTTTGTAGCCCACATGTCCATATCCTTTTACGATCATCAGAATCCGGTCCCTCTATGACACTACAGAACTGACTGATTATCTAGTTATAAGCCCCAACTCTGTTGAACAGGTTGTGCTGTTGACTCTTTCAATCCTTATTTGTCCTGCCATACACTCCATCACCCTTACTCTGTGTTTACAAACTGGTACCAAGTTCTTCACCAAGTTTGCCTTCAGAAGTCACTCTGATGACTGATCAGATTCTTGTTGTGTATATATAGATCCATGTTTTATTCCAATGCAATAACTTGATATTCCTGTTCTTGTTTGTTACCATTGCTTGAATGGATTTGCCCCCTCCCTCCTTACTCTAAATTGCGAAAAAACATCATAAATTGATTGTACCTACATTGATAATTATCTTCATCTGTCCTTTGAGATTTCACTCTGTTTCAAGCCATGTTATACCCTTAATTAATCTTGAAAGTCCTTGGTAGATTGAAATCATGGATTTTCTAGAATGTGTATTCATAGTTTACTGATTTTAAATAGCCTGGTCTGAAAGTGAAAGAAAGAAAAAAAAAGGAAAATAAAACACTTTTCTGGTTTTTGGGATTATATAACCTCAGCATACTCAGATTGACAAATGCCTCATCTAACAAAAGCCTCATCTTATTGACATATTTCTTAGGACCCTATCCCGCATTATTTTGTGGCCTTACAAGACATTTCTTTCTTTAAACTTTCTGCCAACACTTGATTGACTCAAGTGATTTGACTCCACTGAAGACTAGAAGAATTTAGGCACATAATCTGAAAGTAGTTAAAGAATGCAGACCCTGGGATTAAAGACTTCATAGCATTTCAAATGTAAATACAACTATATTGTAATGGAGGGTTTACAACCAGATAAGCACTTCTGTTATTGCTATTTGTAAATTATAAAAATCCCAAAACTAATGAATGAGATATAGTTCGTCAAAGTATTCTGTTAAAATCCTGTTTCTGTAAACAGAACTGACCTTATGTTTTGATAGCTGTTTATAAAAACAGGATGTGTTTTAAAACCTGAGGTTGATGGTATTGAAGAAGAAGAATATCATCATTAATTGCTATCTTTTATTAAGCCTTTCAGCTGAATTTTTTGCTTTTTATCAAAACTATAGGCATCTTTATCCCGCTTCTGTTCTTGATGTTCTGAAATGTTTGACCAATGGTTCAATAGGAATGAAATCATTAAAAATGAAATCTAACAATTTTACATAGATATGAGATAAATTACTATTCCAAGATATACAAGGCACGCACAAGTTTACCAGTCCACCTTAGCTAGGTTTTAGATGGGTTTTGTCACAGAAAGTCTTTCATGTGAAATTTGGTTGAGGGAGAGGGGCAGGGGTCAGGGGGAGTTTTGATTGTGTCTTTTATAACTAGTGAAAAGGGGGATGATATCTTAGGCAATGTTGAAATGGGAAAACATTTTTTTTTATTTATAGATTTTTGTTAATGTTTCAGATGAGTTTATGCGATACTTTACTAAGCTATTTGTCAAATCCTGCATGGTTATAATGGATCCTACCCAGAAATATGCATTTATATGATATATACAAAAAAGCATGTACATTGTAGGTATGAAGAGTTGTGACAGGAGCTCAAAATGTTTAGGCATTATATTGCATACGGATATGACATTGATATAGTCAGTGTAGTATGCATGCATTTTGAATTTTAGATTTAGTTCCATAGGTAAATTATGTCTCAAGCTACAATCATGGTAATATCAGGACATTTTGTAATAACATCAGTAATTTATAAACAAAATAATGATCCAGAGAGAATGAAAGTTTTCAATGTAAAATGATTCATGTGATGTGTTTTTTAAGTCAGATGTGATGTAGTTTCCATACTGGGTCTGTATCTTGGTAGCACCAGTCTGTACTTCAATGAATCATACCAACCAATCATATGATGCAGCATGTTATCTGGAATTTTCTAAATAGAATGTGTGCAACAGAATTGATAAATATTGTTATTTACATCGAGATGTATTTCATTTCAAATATCAAAATTTATTTTAGGGTTTATATAGATTTTTTTTAATAGAATTAATTTTCTTTTGAAACCATTGCTATTTTAAAAATTGAAAAAAAAATGTATGAAAAATATGTATGAAGATATGGGCCGGTTTCCATTTTTCTGGAATGATTTGGTGAGAGTTCTATATGGCATGTGGAACCTGTTGAGTATTCTGTGTGATTTATAGAATTATGAACATGAAGGGAATATATTGTCTGGTTTGTATATATAGGGATTGAGTGTTATATTTGGTGATAGCTAATTACAGATATCTCATTGGAGTAAGGACTGCTTGAAGGCAACCTGTTGGTAAAATTTGGACTGAAGTCAAAATTCATAACATTCTATTTACCTTCTGCTTGATATAGCCCTTCCATCTTTTACCTGTGGTAACGTGTGTATACATGGTGTTGGGGAAAGTATTCATTTGTACTATCATATTAAACTCACTATATGTAAATATACATCTTTGTTGTGAGATGGAGTGCTAGTGGATACTAATATCCTTCATCTCTGAATCACATTAACATAATCATGTTTTCCTTCTTTAGAATTTGAATATTAATATATATACCAGTTATATATACTGTGTAGATAGGTACTGTTATTATACATATATTATATCATATATCAAATTTCCTCTTCACTGCTATCACTTAATTCTTCTGTCTGTCAATCTGTCAATCATGTGTGTAGCAGATTTCTACTAAGTGAAATAATTTAGGATTCAGTAGTTATGGGAAGCGAAGGAAAATGTATCAGAAGATGGGGATTTTTGATTGAGTTTAGTGGTAGTTATGTCCCTTTATTAGGCATCCAGTGTGTTGATATGATAATTCTCCACTTACATAAACATCTAAGAAAAAAATTTCTAAAAAAAAAAAAGAAGTAAAGAAAACCTGGGGAAAAATGTGCTTTATAAGAAACAAGAAAACACAATTAAATCAAAGTAACATGCTCCAATAAGATATATAACAAAAACTACAGGCTTGCTTTTTGTTTTTTTATGATTATCATTTGAAGTGTCAAAGGTCAATCTTTATGATATATCCAATATGTCTTTTCTTTCATATACAGTTTTACAAATAGACAAGGATGTAATTACAATAGTGAAGTCAAAATCAATTACTAGTAATTGAGGGTAATTACTAGTAAGTATTTAAGGGAAGTCTCTTGTTTTCATTCATGTCCTTCCCCCTACATTAATTTCTTTTTTTTTTTTTTTGAATAAGGAACTGTTCTTTGTCTTGAAAAACTTGATAAACTGTTGCTCTGTTCTTAAAAATGCTGTCTTACCTGACTATACTGATGGATATAGTTCACATCCTACGTAGGTACATCAGTAGAGATCCAAGTTCTTGTGGACCACTAATGTTAATGTGTTTTTCCCTGATCTGGGTAAATATGTGTTATACTAGTTACATAGGTGTGTGTTTGGAAAATATTTTTCAATACGTGTAATTGTGGCATTGTTCAGGTCCAAAGAAACTAACATTCAGAAATAATGAATGTTGCTAGAAGTTTGGTGTCTTTCGGTTAATGTCATCAGATCCACCTCAAAATGTTGCTTTTTTAATGATTATTATTTTTTGACGTTTGTTTCTGAATGTATATTAACTGTACATTACTTGTTGTGGAATTGATGTGTGGTTTTCCAGAAAAATTACAAACTCCCTTTACCTTAAGTATGTACATCTCAAATATAGTGTAAATATCACGGTAAATAAGTCTGGATAGTATTTGTGTAGATCCGGTCACTGATAGTGAGTCTGGAAGAGTCTTTGGGTCTAATAGCTCATCATTCACAAATTAAAAGTCATTTCTTAATCAGTGTTAAGGAAATCAGGTTTTCACGAATCACGTCTGAACAGGTAAGTTCACGAAAAATAAAGAATTCAATAAATCTACATGATTGACAGCAATAGAAACATGTCCTGTCTTTTATAATAGTGTTAAGTACACTCCAGATTTTGTCCAGTTGTAACGTTAAAAAAAGTGAAAAACTTCTTACATTGTTAACTACAAATAATTGTTTTGAAGAGCAACAACTAAAATTGTTTAAATAGAATGAATTGCATACTGTAATAAGTATAGAACTCTGAATGACAATCATCTATAGTAGAGTGGTCTGTAGGACTGAAAGCTCAAGGTTCAACTGATGTCTGCATAAATTACTTGAAATGTTATTGTCTACCTAGCTGTACAAACAAGAAGCAGTATACAGGGAAGTTAACCCAATGAAAATCAAACTTCAATCACTTTATTTCATTAGATGTAGTTTACGAATACATTTTTTCAATTTTGATTTTTCACTATTCATCTGAAGTCCGATCAATATGATATCAACATACTGTTGTAATGTACAATTAGCTCACATACCAAAACAGAGTTGCATGTTGCTGTATTTGGTAAATGTATGTGGCACCCTCTGACAGTCACCTCCATATGTTGCAGGCATGAAGAAATTTGAGTACCGTGGAAAACAGTGGCATGAGGAGTGCTTCTGCTGTATGGTTTGTAAAGAGCCCATTAGGAACAAGAGCTTCATCCCACGTGACCAGGATGTGGTGTGTGTGCCATGCTATGAAGATCAGTTTGCCCAAAAGTGTAGCAAATGCAGTGGAGTAAGTATACACAACTCACAGGATGTTGAAATGAGCGAGCAGGGCCTTTCTGTCTTATTTTTTTCCTTAAAAGGAGAGATTTTTATACTCTTTGTCAATAAGTCTAGAAGATTTGTCTACCTGATATTACCCATTCTAAATCTAGCTTTGTTCTTTGATCTTCAAATAACCCAAGAACCTTTACCATATTTCATGTTAGCTCCTCTTTCGGATCATCTGTTGATTGTTACCTGTTGTCGTTAGGTTATCAATAAAGGGGGTGTGGCCTACAAGAACCAGCCGTGGCACAAGGAGTGTTTCACCTGTACCAACTGTAGCAAAGAGCTGGCCAAGGAGAAGTTCACTTCACGTGATGAGAAACCCTTCTGTGCTTCCTGCTATGGTGACCTCTTCGCCAAGAAGTGCTGCAGATGCTCCAATGCTATTACAGGTAACAAGGTTTTATGATGCAAGGTTGTCACAATTACTAGAGTGATGTGTTTTAAGAATGCTTATACATAGAGATTACATGGTCATTGTCTTAGGATGTAAGCTGTATTTTGGCGAGGGTGAAGAAAGATAAAAGTAGCAAGCCTTTGGGAAACCTCTTTTGTCTGTCTGTCTGTCCTAGCAACATCACTTACTAAATCAAACTTGGTTTACCTGACGTTGATGTTACACGAATTGTGCCTGATGACGCACATCAAAATAATTATTCTGCACAGAAATATAGTTGGGCACTTCAATGGATATAAAAAAGCATTTTTTATGAATTTTCAAAAATAAACTTATTTATGACAGGAAATAAAATCACTTTTTTAAACAGTTTTTTTTTTTTTTTTCAAATGAAATGTCTGATAAAATCAGAAATTTCTTAATGCTAATGAATTAATGCTAAAATACAGCTGTTGTCACTGCCACATACAGCAAAGATATGTGGTAGGTGTTGTATTCCAACAATTGCAATTCAGTTAAGTGTCTGCTGCATTTTTTTTTCTAGCATTATTAATCTAAAGACAAAAATCTGAAATATCCAAACTGTTTTGCTGTTTTTATGTTAAGAAACACCACACCAAGTGACATCAGAACACTTTAAAATAAAGCAGAAAATTCAATACAGCATCTACAAGACACTGACTTAACTGCCCAAATGCAAAACGACCTTGTCACCAATTATCAGTGTTGAATGACAAACTGAAACTCCCTGAAACTACTGGTCCTCCAAATGGTCCCAGAATGCATTATTTTCATTCTAAAATTTCAAAATTTTCTCAGAGGGTGTGGCCCCAAACCCCACTAGAAGGTTTATTCACTTTGCTCGTTCAGTGAACTGGTCCATCACAGCAAGATAAGGAATCTTTTGAATTTTAATAACAACCTGTACTGAAGTTATACACATGTACTGTTGTAGGCTATTATTGTAAGGGAAGTAACTCTGGAATGACTGTTCTGAGGTGAAGCTAGAATGGCTCTTGCTGGATATCTATATCATTTGTTTTTCAACTATTAATTAATTCATCTTTAATAGAGAGGAACAGTGGACCTGTCCCCTTTTAGATGGGTTACATTTGTATAGTCCTTTGGTTGTTGGTTCCACGGACAACAGCACCGATCATGATGTCATTACATTTTATTTATTGATATTATTTATAAAAATTTGTTAAATTAGAAACTTTTTTTTTCTGTTAAGGCTTTGGTGGAACAAAATTCATCTCTTTCGAAGATCGCAATTGGCACAGCGACTGTTTCGTGTGCAGCAAATGTGAAGCATCCATGGTTGGACGTGGTTTCCTGATGAATGAAGGGAGTGTACTCTGCCCTGACTGCGGACGCAGTTAAATAACTCAGCCCTGATAAATAGATAATATATTCTGCTGTAAGCCTGTGTCAGGTTACGATGGCTTGGATATGGGGTAGGATGCAGATTTATAAATTTGGGCAGACCTCATTTATCGGGTTTTTTTTGAAAAATTGATAAAAAGATGACAAAATATGTAACCACAGTCTGTTCACTAAAATGAGACAGTGTCACAGTTTATATTAGAGACTTCCAGCTTTGTACATAGGGAACTATATGAATAAGGAATGATGGTTTTCAGGACCATAGAAAGGGTTATATAAACAGAATTATTGATGGAGATGGATTTATTATGCCCATTACTAGATCTGCATTCTACCTATATCTGTTGTCACTATACAATGTTAGTACCAAGACATGCCTTTGTGTGGTTTTGTAAAAGTGACACACCCATAATACTGTCCATATTTGAGATTGATATCACAACAGATGATCTAAACTTACTTAGTGTTCGCCTCTGGTTTTTTTTTTTTTTTTTTTTGGTTTTTTGGTTTTTTTTGTTATTTTTTGGTTTTTTTTTGTGAGTTTTATAATATTTATTGAACTAAGCTGAAATAGCAGAATGCTACAGAAACTTGTATATAATCAAAATATACTCTCAGATTTTATATTATTCTTGATAGACTTTTACTGTTTTCCTTCATTATCATATTTATATGACATTTGACTGCCGTCATTATCGTCATACCAGAACTGCATTGCGATTGATAACAATACATAGATGTAAAGGTTAAAAAGTAAGAGAGAAATCGTGATGACATTTTTAGTTGCATTTCTCATTTTATCATATGATAGTATGCATATTGGAGCTTAGATTTTTCCAAACTGCATATATATTTGTTGAAATGTGATTTCTCTCATTTAGTCTGATATAACGTCTATTGTTGTTTTATCAAGTTAGATAAGTTATATTGTTTAAATCATTTAAGAAGATTGAATTTTATGTCCATTTTCATAATGAAAAAAAAAAAACAGGTAAAAATATTAACATTAAAAGGCATTTTGACTTAGGAGCTGTCTGCCCTGTGTTTGTCTGTATGGAGACAAAGAATGTTCCTTTTTTGTCGGTATCAATAAGTATCACTGCCAGCGATATTGCAATATCTATATACATATGTACCTGCCAGTATTTATGCCTTACTATATATAAGATACCTGTACAGCATTGAAAAAAATATTTCCAGATGTGCTAAATCACTGCATTGGTTTCTTTGTTTGATATACCATATGCTGAAATTTGAGTGTCTGAGGAATAAATAAAAGAATTAATCCATGTTTCAGTGTTGGAAAGAACATTAGATCTATATGCAATATTGACAGAACCTCATCACGTTGGATGAAATCTACTTTTACCAAAAAGTAGTTGCAAGTTATTGAAAGTGTATCTAGAGAGAGTTGATGGGTGTGATGCTATTCCTTATTAAAGGGAGATAATTATCATTAATGAAATATTTCTTGTCAAAAGAACCAGAGTTTAAGGGCATTCCATGTGGTATATATTTAACTGAAAAATTTGATATAGATCTTCTTCTTTAGAACCAAAAGGTTGCAGCCTTTTATTTGAGTGAAAGGAATGCTGTTATATTATTACATCACAGTTCATGCACCAAATGTCTGTAAATCTTGGACAATTACAACTGTTTGTTATGTAAACCAGTCCTGCTCTACTTCACACCTTCCACACTTTATAGATTATTACAGCGTCCCTACTATTACTAATTTAAACGTTAATGTCTCATCTTGTTATTTCTGTTTCCTTTTTGATTATGTATTTGAAAAATTCTGCAGTTTACACGTGTCATCCACTTATTTTGCGATTACCTTAAAACCCTCTATACAAACATGAATGTCTTTGCCCTCACACAAACACTTGGTTCAGCATTATTTTACAAAATATTTCCAAAATTTGAATCTCCATAAAAAGACAAAAAATGAAAACTGCTTTTGCAAGATCTCCTGTCAAGGTAAAAGTTGTATGCAAATTATGATTGTATTAATGTTTGATTTGCTGTGTCAACTATTACTGTCATGGTGAATTTTTAATGAAATGTTGTTGATGTTTTTCTCTGTCCTCTATTTCTTTGTTAATAAAATGACAAATTATATTATTATGTAAATAATTCGTGTTACATATTAAATTAATATGCAAATAAGACTAATAATGATTTGCTCTATTGTGATTATAATAGATGTGATACTATAGAACTTTTGTTTGGTGGTTTTTCTGCTGAAAACCCTACAGATTGGATCTCTTTCACATTGGAAAGAATATTATAAAATTACTATAGACATTCATTGGCCATTTTTAGCCCATTTCAAGAGCTGGAGTGTGTCAATGGCACTTGATTTACAAGGCATGCATTCTGTATGTGGATGCAAAGTTTGTGGCCAACAAAAGTTTAGGAGCTTTGGGTTCATAAAAAATAATTATCTGCTAGACTTGAGCTTCCGGCACTTTGAATACTTTTCAAATTATATTTAAATGTATATAACGGAATTTTAATAAAGTAGTAAAAAAGTCAGTGTGTTTGTTTATATAGATAGGTCTTTATTTTCAAATTTTTTCGTATGTTGTGTCATGTTATCTTCCTGTAATTGATTTTATAGTAATAAGGAATGCAGTGATGAGGCAGAGATGAGATGAGTGATTTGCCCGTAGGAAATTCATATAGAGGCACGTTTGTTGAACAATATTGTATAAAGATAGCATTTAGTTATAGCACTGTTGGCTGTTGGTTAAATCATTTTCATCATACATAGAAACACTGTGGAATGTTCTATAAATGCATGGTCAACATCGTATTTTATTCCTGGAGTGACAAGTTTTCTGACCAGTGCTGATGTGGAAATGTATCTGTTTCCCTATACAATTTTCACCTGTAGAAAAGCATTAATTTTACTACACTGCATGACTCATATGAAGTGCAGTGTATCATGTGTAATATTTTTATCTCTGGATATTTCCAGAAATTGCTGTTTCCTTGTGGAAAACATGTGAAACATATTTGCTCTTTGGTGTCATTGAGGACAGTTTTACAGCATCAGTAATTTTAAGTCACAAATGTTTTTGATAAATTTCACCACAATAAACTATATGTATCAATGGCAATAATATTATTTCTAAAAGTCAATTTATTGTGAATATTATAGGAAATATTCAATTATGCCAATAAATGTGATGAAAGAGTTCAAATATTGGACTTAAATGTAAAATTATGCTGTAGTAAACAGTTTGGCCTCTGTGGTCCTGCTACATGTATATACAGAATCTCCAGACATTGTTTGTAGTAGCTCAGTACTGCTGCAGTTTAGTGTTTATTCAGAGTTAACACTTTTGTTAAAGATGATCATCATAAACAAGTGTTCTTGTCATTCCGGTAATGTGAATCTTGCCCGATTCTTCTATCAGATTACCAAAACGGAACTCCCAAGATTTGAATTTTTTTCAGAGATATTTTCAAATATGTATGACTAGATGAAAGAAAAGGAGTTTCCAAGTGAAAGCAGGATTCACTTTACACGGATTGTTTCACCTGATCTATTGTCCAGACAAGATACATTGGGACATCTAGCTGATGTGTAAGAGGGTATTCAGCTCCAGGTCTCAATAACATTGATCATGGTTATGGACAAGGTGACACCTCCATACAAGTGATTGCCAGGCATCGTTACAAGCGCAGGGGTAATTTTGGGATGACGTGACACCACCAGTCCAAGGGTTGTTTTGGAGTGACATGTCGCCACCAATCCAAAGGTTATTTTGATTTGATGTTCAAGTGTGACCTGTCTGTACTTGTGTTAGGTCTGTACTAGACAAGAGCCCCAAGGTTTGTTATAGAGGTGACTAAGGAGACTTGATGTCCCAGTGTGACCTGTCTGTACTTGTGGTGTTAGGTCTGTACTAGACAAGAGCCCCAAGGTTTGTTATAGAGGTGACTAAGGAGATTTGATGTCCCAGTGTGACCTGTCTGTACTTGTGGTGTTAGGTCTGTACTAGACAAGAGGACCAAGGTTTGTTATAGAGGTGACTAAGGAGACTTGATGTCCCAGTGTGACCTGTCTGTACTTGTGTTAGGTCTGTACTAGACAAGAGGCCCAAGGTTTGTTATAGAGGTGACTAAGGAGAGTTGATGTCCCAGTGTGACCTGTCTGTACTTGTGGTGTTAGGTCTGTACTAGACCAGAGCCCCAAGGTTTGTTATAGAGGTGACTAAGGAGACTTGATGTCCCAGTGTGACCTGTCTGTACTTGTGGTGTTAGGTCTGTACTAGACAAGAGGCCCAAGGTTTGTTATAGAGTTGACTAAGGAGATTTGATGTCCCAGTGTGACCTGTCTGTACTTGTGGTGTTAGGTCTGTACTAGACAAGAGCCCCAAGGTTTGTTATAGAGGTGACTAAGGAGACTTGATGTCCCAGTGTGACCTGTCTGTACTTGTGGTGTTAGGTCTGTACTAGACAAGAGGCCCAAGGTTTGTTATAGAGGTGACTAAGGAGACTTGATGTCCCAGTGTGACCTGTCTGTACTTGTGGTGTTAGGTCTGTACTAGACAAGAGCCCCAAGGTTTGTTATAGAGGTGACTAAGGAGACTTGATGTCCCAGTGTGACCTGTCTGTACTTGTGGTGTTAGGTCTGTACTAGACAAGAGGCCCAAGGTTTGTTATAGAGGTGACTAAGGAGACTTGATGTCCCAGTGTGACCTGTCTGTACTTGTGGTGTTAGGTCTGTACTAGACAAGAGCCCCAAGGTTTGTTATAGAGGTGACTAAGGAGACTTGATGTCCCAGTGTGACCTGTCTGTACTTGTGGTGTTAGGTCTGTACTAGATGTACCTAACATACTTCATATTAATCACCCACCTCTAGACATGGTGGTTGTTAACTCAATAAACATTGCTTGCATTATTCCAGGTGTTGTGTTGTCTTTCCTGTTTTCAATCCAGCTAAATGCTTTACGAGACACTTCAGACTTAGCTGTCAGGTCATGTGGTCAACAAAAACACCATCCATAATATAATAATTTTGAAAGGGATAAAATTGTTTTGACATTAAAATATGTTCAAGCTTAACTTAATCAGCTAAAAAGAATCTCTAGACTTTATTTAAGAAATATTTTTTAAATGAAAGTTGATTTCGTACTTATTCACTGTAACAAGATACAGAAGCTCGTGTTTAAACTTGTGTTTAAATGTGTTTGACTATGCAGCAGCCATCATGGATTTTGCCTATGAAAGTTTGTTATCGCCATTTCTTGGGAGGTACAGAATTCTCAAACTTTATGTCAAAGTTGCCACTGTGTGTTTGATATATTTTCACTAGTATCACATTTCTCTGTAAAATGACATATCTTGACATCCACCGGTGAAATTGAACAATATTTTTGTTTACTTTGTTCTTAGTTGGGAATGTGACATTACTTGCATGAATTGACCAAGATTTCCATGAAGCAGAAGACACTTACTCTTCCGGAACACCTGGTCATCTTCTCCTTGTTCTTTTTCAGGAGTGTGTAAATCATTCACTTGTTCATATTTTACCCCCAGCTTCACTTAATTTGTGTTTGAATTACAATTTTTATAACATGTCCGTATTTTCTTTGCTTTTAGGTCATCTCACACGAAGGGTCAAGATGTCCTATTGCTATCGTGCATTGTCATGTGTCCTTTAAAACACTACTCCTGCTTAATGCCTTGGCGGACTTCAACCAAATTTGGTCTGAAAAATCATTGGGGTGGGCAATCATTTGTTCAATTAAGAAAAATTATCCAACCCCTAGAAACTTGGGGGTGGGGCCCAAAAGAGGGAAATTAGACAATATTTTACTTCAAAATGCTACTCCTTAATGCCTTGGTAGATTTCAACCAAAGTTGGTCTGAAACGTTATTGTGGATGGGTTATCATTTCTTGAATTTTAGACAGTTGATTTCACTGTGAACCTGTGGGGTCCTAAATGGGACAGTTAGTCAATATTTTGACAACAAAACTCTGAGTAGATTTTAACCAAACCTGAAACATTATCAAGGAGTGGCAATGATATCAAACATGCATGAAGTGATCCTGAGATTGTCCTAACCAAATGTGATTTTTTTTGCTTTGGTCCAAAATCTAACATAACTCATCTTGGTCAAATAGTCTCAACTACTTCTCAAGTTTCATTCACAACAATTAGAAAAAAAATTCTTATAATTTTTCAGCCTGCTCAAAAGTTCAATAATCACAGTAGAACTGTTTTTCTTCATTTATAAGTTTCAGCTACTTTTCAGGAAAGTTTATAAATTGAATTCATCAGATTTGTCAGATCACCATCAGGGAATCCGGTGGTTCCTTCATCCATTCATTTATCGTCAGATGACTGTTAAGGGCCATGGCCCTCTTGCTTTTTCATTTCTTTTTTTCATTGGTTTTTTTTTTTTTTTTTTTCTAATTTCTTCCACACAGTTTTTGACTTTTCGGTACTTTTTGCCATTTAATTATTTGATTGCAGGATAAGTGTGCTATCAATATATATGATGAAAATGGTTACACATTGTCAAATGTTTTGTAATACAAATCATATCTGTGTGAACACCATATCAACATGTTTGTAAATATGTTCAAAACAAAAAAAAACAAAATTAACACAATTTTCATCCTCTTATTATCCATGATTTTAGTTCATAGCAACAGTTACTAAATCAATTATCATTTTATTGTCTGCAAATTTGACTCGTAGCAAATAAAAGCAAAACAAGGAATACAAAATAACGGCGTTTTTATTACCACTGAAAAATCTTATAAAATAGAGAAAACAAAAAAATACAACTGTTAAACAAAACATTGATTTTTTTATTGTCATTGGTTCTAAACTAGAACTTGAAGAAAAAAACAAACTAATTTTCTGGAATTTTCACACCATTTGTATAATGGTATAACAAAAACGATCAGTCATAGTGTTACTTTGTTGTGAAAATGCCATTTCTTTTGGGTTGCAAAATACATGTATACAGATGTATTACAGTAAACGTGTTTGATAAATATATTTGCATTAACATGACTATTTTGATTCTTTACATACCTATGATACAGAACATACCTTGATGTATATCAACAATAAATATCTATCTATAAATATCATAAAATATGATATATCTATATATAATCAACTAATATAAAATTAATGTATATATAACAATGTATGTGAAAATCTCTGGTAAGTTAAAAAAAAAAGCAATAAAAATAAATATATAAACATTGAAAACATGATTTGGCACACTAAAATCATTTAATATCTTAAATTCAGCATGAACACAGTCACACAATTATCCTTTTTATATCCTTTACAATTATATTCAATTTGTTTTTCTCCTTAAATCTCTATAGGATGATACCTCTGTGTGAACCATTATAAGTATTAATCTGGACCATGAGGTTCAGTCCCTAGAACTACATCACAATAAAATACACCAAAACTTTACACAAGTGTGGACTTCATCTGTACTACAATGGCTTGGTTCATCACTACAACTTTAACAGCAACTTTTAAAAAGCCACAAGAAACGTTGTTTTGTTATATGTGGGTGTGTGATGTCTTTTTGTTATCTAAGCCTGATTTAAAAACAGGTTAGGATACACATTTGTAATAATATGAAATATTGCTTGGTAATATTTTCATAATAACAATATGTTAAATATAAACAACAAAATCAACAAAAACAACAATAACCGATATATATATATAAATATATATAAATATATATAATACTCCTATGATCAATAGTGGGAGGCATTAACCTAATACCAGAGACCTGCTCCAAAGTGGTTTACACATTATAACTGGCATACTTCTATAGTAAAACAGAAAGAGCTTAGTATAAAACAATCTTACATGGATACCACAGTAATTATAAATATAAATTTAAACCATTTATTAGGTCATGATGTTTCTTAAGATTTGATTTTCTTATGTACAAGTAAGACTATTGTCCAGGTTGATTTATAAGGAAGTAAAAATATATGCATCGTGTAAAGGGATGTTACTTTCGCTTAGTGTTAATTTGTAACATTGCAATTCCTTTACCATTCTCACATCTGACCTTTCTCTAGATCCCATTTTTTTATCTTTAACCATTCTCACATCTGACCTTTCTCTAGATCCCAGTTTTTTATCTTTAACCATTGTCACATCTGACCTTTCTCTAGATCGCAGTTTTTTATCTTTAACCATTGTCACATCTGACCTTTCTCTAGATCGCAGTTTTTTATCTTTAACCATGGTCACATCTGACCGTTCTCTAGATCCCAGTTTTTTTTTATCTTTAACCATTGTCACATCTGACCTTTCTCTAGATCCCAGTTTTTTATCTTTAACCATTGTCACATCTGACCTTTCTCTAGATCGCAGTTTGTTATCTTTAACCATTCTCACATCTGACCTTTCTTTTTTTTATCTTTAACCATTCTCACATCTGACCTTTCTCTAGATCGCAGTTTTTTATCTTTAACCATTCTCACATCTGACCTTTCTCTAGATTCCAGTTTTTTTTTTATCTTTAACCATTCTCACATCTGACCTTTCTCTAGATCGCAGTTTTTTATCTTTAACCATTGTCACATCTGACCTTTCTCTAGATGGCAGTTTTTTTATCTTTAACCATTCTCACATCTGACTTTTCTCTAGATCGCAGTTTTTTATCTTTAACCATTCTCACATCTGACCTTTCTCTAGATCCCAGTTTTTTTATCTTTAACCATTCTCACATCTGACCTTTCTCTAGATCCCAGTTTTTTATCTTTAACCATTGTCACATCTGACCTTTCTCTAGATCCCAGTTTTTTATCTTTAACCATTCTCACATCTGACCTTTCTCTAGATCCCAGTTTTTTATCTTTAACCATTCTCACATCTGACCTTTCTCTAGTTTTCCGGTTCACAATTTTTTACCTTTACCCCAACCATGTCTTGACCGTTCCCTGGATAATGTGTCCACAAACTGGACACCTTCGCACAGCCTGGGAGCAGACGTGACAACAGACAAGATGAGCACACGGCAGAAACGCGATAGAAGCATCTTCCTCCTCACATATTCTACACATCCTTTCTTTCTTCAACTTTCTGTTTTCTTCCATGAGAGCCTGGATTTCTGTTACAAAGGTGAGAGGTCACTTATCTACCAAACATTCTGTTATTATTGGTTGTTGTTGGGTTATTTTCCTAAAAGCTGTATGAAACACTTCAGAAAAATTTAATCTACAGTTGGTTGGTTTCTAAGACATGCGTCATCATATTTATTCAAACAAAATTCTAATTCAAGAAGTTAATATTTTGGCTGATACATCATCAGTGTTGAGGAAAAAATACTTCTAAGCTTGTAACTAATAATAATTAATAGCAAATACATTTTTTTATTTTAGCGCGATGAGTGCAAAAATAATTTTCAGTCTCATGCGTGAGCGAAATATTTTTTTTGTATGCAATATACAATTCATTCTACCAGATGATCGATCAACCTAGCGACTGTGAAATTTACCTTTCATTTGCTGATCAATAGGGTCCTGTACATTGGCGCCAGACGTTTCGCCGTTGACGTCATCATCCATACCATTTGTGACGTCATCTATTTGTTGCTCGCCTGCTTCCTCCAGACGTTGGATCTCGTCCACTATGGCGATAGCATCAATGGTTTGTGTACCTGAAATGGTCACATGATCAGAAATATTGTATTGCATTAAATATGTCGTTTTCAAAGTCTATGACAAGCCTACTTAGGCACTAAATCTTTAGTGACACCTTAAATTATCTGAAATATCCGACCATTTGGAATTTTGAAAAATAATGCATTAAATAGCATTTGATAGGTCTGTCTCCTACCAAGATAAATACACCAATACTTCCCTCAAAAAAGTAAATAGGATGGATAATCTTATTGTTCAATACATCATGTGTTCCATGTCGATTTTTTCCTATGTAATATATTTGTTTTGAAATGTTATACATAATTATATCTAGTGCCAAATCACCTTTGAGCAAAATGTTTATTTATTTAAAGTTATACAATATAGAATGATTTAACAAAGGAGTGTTTATCTCCTAACAACTTACCTTTTTGACGGAGGTTTCTTACTGCCCAACTGACCATTTCAGGATTGTAGCCATTCTCAGTTAAGCTCTGGTAAGCTGGTAATGAGCGTATATCCTCTATTTCCTTTGTCTGGTTTTGCGGATCTTTATTGTCGTTTGTCTGAACTGTGTTTGGCTGGTTCCCTTCCTGGTAAAAGAATTGTATCAAAATTATCACATTGAAAATGTCATGGTAACAATGTCAATAAAACAAGATTTTCGGTGAAACTGTTGTCTATCATCTGAAGGGCAACACATACCTCTCTGTCCAATTGCTCCTGTACCAGCTGAATGAATTCTACTCCTTTGTTTTGACGTAGGTAAGCACATTTTGGGAACCATCTAGCATGTTCAACCCAGGGATCATCCCCCATCTCCCAGTTACGTAGACCGCCTCCACAGAAAAAGCATCGGGTATAATCAGAGTATCCAGCAAATACAAAACCCGCCTCGGCCATAAGTTTTGGTGTCTGAGAGGCTGTCCAACCGTTGTATGAACTCATTCTCACCGGCAACACTGCGTATGCTGGGTACTTTGGTTTGTCGAAGTTGACACCTAGGGGGGCCAATTTTCTCATGGTAGCAGTGCTGACATTTGTGTCCGATCTTTGTTGCGTTCCCTGTGTTTGTGTGTTCCCTGATCTGCCACTCCCGTTCATCATGCCGTTTGTTAACAGCTGATTTGATCTATTTGATCTTTCATGTACTTGTGTGGTTTGGTCATTTGGTCTATTTCCACCGCCATTAGTAGTTGTTAACGTCGTGCTATTCTGGTTGTTTGGTGCATTATCTGATGCAGTTGTTTCTTGCACGAGCTCTTGTCTCTGATAAGGAGACGATTCCTGAATAGAAGACTGCCTTTCTGAACGCCTTTGGGTGTTAGTATCATTTGGTGATCTGAGAATTGGCAGAACTTGACCGTTGTTAATAAACATATTTCCAGATGATTGAGCTAAGTTTCTTTGGACTAAAGGTGTTTCATGTCCTGTGTTTTGTCCGTTTAATCTTGCTTCCTGTTCATGCAAAGACGGATTTTCAGGCAAGGTATCAAGTCTTTCATTTTGTGGTTCTGCTCCATATGAATTTTGAAATATTTGTCTAATAGGGGTTGCTTCTTCTTCTCGTTGTATAGGGACGTTTGTGTCATCGTTTCCAGTCACATAATTGCAAGTTGGAGACATACTTCGATGGAGTCGGTACGGATCATAGCCAAGACGCCAATTTTGGTATGTTAATCCACAAGAAAAGCACTGGACTTGGTCTGCCTGCCCAGTGTAATAAAACCCGGCTTTTGCCAGAAGTATCGGACTTATCGCTATTCTCTGGGATAAATTTGCAAAAGAATTTAATCGAAGCCATTCAATTTCCATATGTGTTTCGGATGTATTTGTATTTCCGTTCCCCACACTTTGAAAGTACTGGTCAAGACTCCTTGACACAGGATACACGTGAATAGAGAGTGTATCAGGTTGTACATGCCATTTCTGAATGATATCTTTGAGCTTTGAGTTTTTTACAGACATTTTCTTTCCATCTTGATCCAGCCTTTTTTCAGTTATCTTTGTATTCCTCCAGTTCTTTTTTACTGCTTTAATAATGGCGGACTTCACTTTCCTTTCCCTGGTCCTTTTTCTTCTCTTCCTTTCTTTGAAATGGTCACCTTTGTGAATAATCGTCCACTGCTTTGCCTTTTTTAAAGAAAATTTCAGATTTTCGACGAGATCTTTGTCTTTTTTGTGTCCAACGTTTGTCTTCGAAGTTGGTTCCAGCCAGAAGCTTTGATCCTTATCTGCCAACTTAATTACGTAAACAGATTTCCTTTTACGCTTAAATGACAACATTCTCTTTTCAGGTCTATCCCTCAGTGGGATTTTTGCCTTTTCACAAACACGCCGTAATTCCGTTTTCATTTCCTGTACGTTTTTGCTGATATCTTTGATTCTTTTACTGATGTTTCTGTCAGCTTTTGGTGGTGATATGAACACAGGTATTTTTGAAAGATCTGTTGCACTTTTAATTTTGACTTCTTCGAGTGCTTGCTTGTGTTTTTTATCTGGAATTTTATTAAAACGCACATCCTCTACCATACATTGGGTATGACCTATTGAAACAACAGAAGACGCACCAGAAACAGGCACACGCTGTTGATATACTATACTTATCGTTCTTTCCATTTCTGTGTCAGTTTCTTGTTCTTGGATTCTCTCTTCTTCAAGACAATACTGTTTCCCTTGTAGTCGTTCATGACAACATGCTCCTGAATTCCGTATATTCTGCTGATAGAATTTGTCATCAAACCTCCTTTCAGCATTCCGGTCTTCCGAATATAAGCAAATTCGTCGGGTATTTCGGATCTGTTGTGGATTATCATTGTTCAGTAATGCAATATCTGAATCGTTGTTGATACATTTGGTGTACTGCGTGTACGTCATCTTTATCTCTGAAAAAGAGGGGAAAACACCATAAAATCATGTTGGTTATTTTTGTTGATTTACAACATAACAACAGACCAAGAGGAAATTTTAACTAAATGAGATTCCTTTAGCGCCACAAGGCTTCTTCTACACAAATTATATAATTATCTCGTATCATGTAAGCTGTTCATGAAATGACTGACGGAGGAGAGGGCATGGGGGATTAACTCGCGAAAGCCAAACTTGGTGAAAACCAGTTTTAAATTAGCGTTCAATAACCATTATCTGCGATATCAAAATATCAGATACAGGTTTGCTTTGTTTTAGAATTAGTAGACCATATATATTTTATTTACTTGCCATTTCAAAACACATCGTCTACAAATAATGAGTTTTAAAATAGCCGTGTCTCTCAGTGTTATTTTCATTTATTTGAATCTTACCCTACGTCAACAAATGACCAGGATTCATCTTTTAGCAAGAGACATTTCATCATCAAAATAGTGGTAGGTCATTACTAGATTTAAACATATTGCATAATGTACTTGAAAGACAAAGCCGTATTTCACAAGAACACGCATACATTAATATATGGAGGATATGTAAATGTATACCACGCGTCCAATTCCTTTCGAATTAGATACAAATATGATTTTTGTATGCATTTTAAACATACTCGCGGGGTTATTCCGTAAGATTCTAGCGCAATCTGTAAGTTTCGATGCTATATATATCTAACCAATGAGCAGCAATATTGTTTTTATGCGGCGTTCCAGGTTTTAACCTCAGTGATATCAATATTCATATACAGGAGAAGTCTTTACCGAATACATCTATATTTATTATGTTTGTAGTTTGTATTTTAAACAATCGAAATATTTCAAAACCACGTTTTTAAATGATTTTTCTTAGTTATGCTTTGTCATCAAAACCAGGTACTGCAGCGTCAGCACATATTATCAGGAATCTAACCTTACTTTATTATTTATTAAAGAAATTATTCTAAAATAGCTTCAATATTTTATCAAAAGTGCAAAATTATTGTTTTGTATAACTTTTATGTTACGTGTTTACATACCATGGCCAACATGGAGGGATATCCCGATTGTGACGGAGAATCCTTCGCCAACTATTTATAATAGCTTAACTAACCAATGACGATAGAGGTCAGGGTGCATCTTATGACGTAACACGGGTTTATACAAACACGAAAACAACAGAGCTTTTAGTCGTCAATAACAATTTTTTATTATGATAATGATGATGTCTTGTGCAATACCAGTATTTGAAAATAAACTTGTGTATTAACAGAACATTTCATTTGATTCAGAATGACACAACAGTATTTTGGGATTGCGTCTAGCCATTTTTTTACTTTGGGTGCTGTCTTTTATGTAATCCATCGTCGTATTGCGTAAGAGTGTATTGAAGTTACTTAACAAACACCTTGAATTAATATAATGAAGACTTGCATCGATTGACAAAGCAGCTATCAAATCTGTTATTTTTGTGTTTTTTGTATAACGTACATTTGATTTACCGAGGAATACCACTACCAATCGTTTTATAATACTGTCACCACGAAAATAAGTCTCCCGAGAATTATATGATTTTACAGTCGCTTAGATTTCATGGCTTGGTTCAGGATTTTTAAAAACATTTTTGTTTTTAAAATGTCATTATACTACATTTTCAGATGTTTCCGTGTAAATCTTTATATATTGCCCTAGTTTTATTGAATTGTGGTTAGGATCATGTTTATGTTAACATGTTGGTCTGTTTATGTTGCTGTCCGGGTTATTTGTGGTAACAATAGATTAAATTCTTGGTCGAATATATCAATTGACCTGTTTATTTTGTTTTTATTGCTCTCTTGTGAATCGTCATACAAATTTAACACTTTCGGTTTATTTACCTCATTTTATGCTGTGTCACCAAAATCTTTTATCTTTTTGTGTTAAAATATACATAAACTGATACTAAGCTAATACAGAATTACTACAGATATTGCTTCTTTTAAGTTTCCGTTTATAGAACTATCTCTAAATTACATGACATAAGATATTACGAGTTTTCCTCTTAATGACCACTCCTTCAATGATTACCCTTTTAACAATCGAGCATACCAGCGTGATACTGTATTTTGTAAATTGTGTTGAAAGTCTAGTGATGACATTGTATTACACTTTCTACTAGAGTGTCCGGAATTGTTATAGACTTGGGATATAATGATGGATGGTGTGGTGAATGCAGCAGAGGTTCCTTCCAATATCTTGTTTTCAAATTTAGACGATAAAAGTCATCGTAACTTTTCATTGGGAGATCGATCTTATGTACAATTGAAGGAGTACGAGTTGGATGACTTGATGATAAATATGGCAGTGAATCTCCATGAAATGGTGAGAGAGATGAGTGCATAATTCTAATTTTGATGTTTCACTAATATAATATTTGGTTGACTTCGACTTGGGACTTGGGAAAATATTTATGTATACATTGAAATGTAACATACCTGTGTATTGACTGATTGGCAAAATCTCTTGTAATAAGAGGATATAAAGATAGCCAATGAACAGGTGTTTATATTTGTCAATGACAACAATGATAACACGTATGCGCTTATCTAAGTACATGTATGAACATGATTGAAAGAAAGACATTTCACAAAACAATCAAATATTGATTTAATTTTTAGATAAATCTAATTGTTTTAACTGTATTATGTGTGGCTGTCATGAGTTGGAAAAAAATAAAACTATGATATGGTTACTTCAGTAAGTTCTGTTAACAACGAGGAAAGTTAAAACGAAGACATATTTCTGTGACATTAGAAAAAATTACAGCGACAGCGAATAATCATTAGCTAACTGACCTCGTCCGGTGTATAATTGTATATATATATAAACTACATAACAATTTCATTAATTGTAGAAAGATAAAAATTGTGTAAAAAAAAATTCCTCTGATTTCTGACATTTTATTGTCATGGTTACCAATTAAATACTTCTAATCCAAGATAACACTGCAACTTTATAGAAGAAATTTATTTCTGAACACCTATCTTAAAATCAACAACACTGTCATGGGAACAAACTACCAACATTTCAGCAAATTCCAACTCGGAAATCCTTCATAACATGACCACGTGTAAACACTAGGAAAATTTTACTTCCTGTAAAGCTGGTTTTTGGTGCGTAGACAAAGATTAGAGATTGCCCAAATAGTAATCTCCAACACAAATCTAAAATATTAAACTGAAAAAATGAAATCCCACATTGTCCACCTTAATATGACAAGACCAATTTTAGCAAGGACTTTTGTTCTAATTTTAATTTTAAAACCTTTATAATGGGGTAATCTACTGAACAAAAATATCACCATGGCCACACCGAGAAACTGTATACTGCTACCTAGAGACCATCATCATGTCAAAACGTACCGATAAAATAAAGCGAACCAAGATAGTTTTCACAGGAAATTTTCAAAAGAGTGAGCAATCGTTTTTTGCAATGCATCTCTGATTAAACAGAGATTAAGAACTTTTTTTTCTTTTTGTATACAGACCTAAATGTTCGATGATATATAAATAAAGTATTTTCATTCTCTCAAATTTCAAACAATTTATAACTTTTGTAAATGACTACAAGTTAATTTTATCCTCAATAAATTATTGCCATGATTTGAATATCATTCCTCTCTAGTTCTGTTTATATAAAATAAAAAAAAACACTTTAAGGAAAACTCTAGCTACCAAGGATAGATTATGCCTCATTTACCAAGGACCTTTGGTTCACGACACTTTGCGTCGAAGATATAATTATCGCCGCAATCTTTATTTTGATATGAAACAATTTCTTGTTTAAAACAATGAATAAAGAAATGATGACTAAAGCATACAATTTATACAATGATGAAGGAAGCTGTTTTTCTTTGTTATTATTTTTTCTATAAAGCCCACTCAAGGGAGCAGGGAAAATAAGTGGCCTTTATACACAGGTGGTCGTTATACAGAGACTATATTACTAGGAACCAAAGTAATGGTCTATTTAGACAGTCATATAACGTTTTATAAAATTCTAGTGAAAAAAATAAACATGACTTATGTATGTCTTTCATTTTTTTCTTACAAACCATGAGAGTTTACCATTAAGTATCATACAATATGGTTATGCTTGGACTTAAATCACAAAAACAAAATGGGGAGGTGCACTGATCCCGAAATTCAATATTGAATTTCCCTTTCTTTCCGTTTGAGACCAGGCTGTCTCACTACAACTAAGTTGCCCAAAACTCGTAACTTCTATGTTATTAACTTCAGTTGCAAAGAATTATTCGCGTGTTAAAACTCTACACGACAACTGATTATTGAATCTCAAAATGATAGAAATTTATTAATAAGTCTTGTATTTTTAAACCTAAAATTATGTTTTTAAAAGTAGTGGGAATTGCAATTTCACGCAGGAAAGTGAGGTTCATATCTATTAGAATTACGTACTAGCTGTTCGTGACAAATTTAACTATTTGACTGTGTTATTGTTTCCGGGTTATTAACAGGAAACGAGTTTTAAAGTTCCTGGTAATAGCGATGTATGCACATGTAGGCATATGTGTTAACTGATCAGTGTGTGTAGTGAACTATTATTTCTCGTCCTGGATGGATGTATGTACGATGTAATAGCGCTTGAGAGAGGTATGAAGTCATAGATACTTTCCTACACTTCAATTCCAAAAAGTTATATATTGCCAACATCATAGTATTGTACGACACTTGGAAATCCAATAATAAGTTGGTAAGTTGCGGCTCGTTTTACAATTACGTACTAGTTGTGTGTTACTTTGTTGTTTGATAGCCGGTGCCATATCGAAGTTATTTATCTTTATTCATACAAATATGATCAAAAATGTGATACACATCTTTTCAGGTATAAATTTATTTTCTTATAGTATTTTAAATTAAAATTAAAATTAATTATCCGTATACTTAACATATATTTTTAGTATATATAAATTTACCTGTACATTCGTCAATAAAAAAAAGTATAGAAAGGTAGATGTAGATAAATTAGGACTTGAGCAAGTCTAGATCTACTACCATTGAACGTGTGTCTATAAATAGAATATTCCTCGATAAAGAGACAACAGAGTTTCCCCAGAGACGTATAAAACATCCCTGGTTTCCCTTATTTTTTAAATTGAGTCAGTTGAAATATATAGTTTGTATTAACTTGACTTAGTTACATTAATTAGACTAACCACTGATAGACTTACCTAAGATCCTGCCACACAGAGAGGTTATTGTCGAATGAGTGAAGAAATTGCGAGACTCCATGACTCATACTTGATTCATCCTTGGGTGTTCTCACATGAACAATTGTCATACTCGCTTTTGTAATAACATCAAGTGATGTTTTTTTTTCTGAAAGAATATCATATTGTTCGGGATGATGTACCTAATTTTTGTTCAATATCGTAGAGACTTAGTATGAATCATAAACACATCCCACATTCTTGATTTTATCAGCGAGTGAACCGCACTTTAACATGGCAAAATATAGAGCTCGTCATGACAGCCCTTATATACCATTTGGTTACATGTGGATTTCTTTTTCTGATGCAGGAAGGAATCACTTCAAAATACCCAGAACTATTACATATTGAATACACATTGCTGGAAATCCCACAGCTACTGCATGTACATCAGGTAATTCTGTGAAACATCTCCGGTTATTTTCATGTTTTCCTGTATGTAAGCAGCTAAGTAATATATTAAAAACATCCCTACCAACCCTCTCTCCACTCCCCCTTTCATCCCCTTTCCAAAGTTCCGGTGATCCGATCGTTTATCAGAAACATAAGGTAAGTCATCTGTGCGTGGAATTGTGTGTGTACACTGATCTGTTTGTTAATCAATTGATGCTATATATAAATGGCCGACAAAGATGCTCAACAATTACAAAAACGTCAAAAAAAGTGTATTTTTTTCAAATATAATAATAACATGTATATTGATAGATAAGTATTTTTATCCAAGCCGTAGCAGTTTCAGATTCAGAAAACTGTGACGTCATGTAAAGAAAACACTTCGAGTAAAGCCTTATTATTCTGATAAGGTAACGCCCTTATCGTCTATAGAAAACGGGGAATATATATTGAGTCAAGTTTCTTACTGGCGCCATAATAAAAAAGAATCGGATCTATAAATACATTTATGATGCTATATTACATGATATTAGGCACGGAGCAAACACTTGTTATACTATACAAGTTATGTCGTTAAGAAGGATTTGTTGTATTGTTATATAAAAAGGTATGTATTATATTGAACCAAGTAACAAGTATGTAAATAAATACACTTGACAGCTCTATCAGGTCATCAGCCTCGCTTAACTTATTCAAAAAGTCTTTAATACCTAACGATCTTCCTTTGTCTCCTTCTTACTTTGGTATTGGTAACCGTAAACTAAACATAATTCACACTAAGTTTAGACATAATTGCAGTTCCCTTAATTACGACTTATTTCGGATGAACCTTGTGGATACCCATAGTTGTGTATGTGGAAATATGTGTGAAAATGCCTATCACTTTTTCTTTGAATGCCAGCGTTATAATATTCACAGAAATGTCCTTTTCCAACTTTTAAATGATATGAATTTACAAGTTCACTGTGACTTAGATCTGCTCCTTAATGGAAATTATCAACTGTCCCCTGAAACAAACTCTGAAATTATTTTACGAGTCCAACATTTTATAAAAATTAGCAACACACACACACACACACAACAGATCACTGCTATTTATACACATACCCTTAACACTTTTAACGTCATGATATGTCACGAGAGCCTATTTATAAAGCATTTATATATAAGAAAAATAATGTCATTCTCACTGACATCATTATAAGTTTTGCTAAAAGGATTTTTCTTAATTTGATTTGTTTAAATTCTGGATGATTTTCCCGTGAAGTCTTGTTGACAAGTTGGAAACAATAATCAATGGCGTTCAATGCCTGTATTTAAATTCAAATTAATTAATGTTATATACGGAATTGAACTTTACAATTTTCCTGAAATTGACTTGGTTGTATTAACGCTGATATGAATATTTCATTGTTATACAAAAAGAAATAATTTTACTAAAAAAAGTCGGATTAATGAATTTTAACAGTGAATATCATTTTGTTATCAATTTAGTTGAAATGTGATAGCGCGTTTAAAACATATTTTGATTGATTTAAAATTTTAAAAATCGTTTAAAAACAACTAAATTCGTTAAATGTTTATTATACAAACAGATAAGGGCGTGATACTCATTTTTCTTCGTAGCTTTACATCAACCAATGAAAAGATCGCTTATATATGAAAATAATTTGCCAAAGAAGGGAAGTCCCTTTACTAAATTTAGAAACAAAGTGTTGTGAAAAATAACACGATCAAGTTATAGCCACTTAAGACTTATCATTGTATGGAAAGATTTGTATGAGGAACACGATATACAGGTACATGTGTATGGCTGCATATCATGGATCGTGTAATGTTATTGTATGCACGTTGAGTGAATTTTGGACATAAATCAAATTGCACAGGGGGAGGAGGGGGTTAATTAATTAAGATTTTCAAATAATTGATATGAGAAAAGATTAAAGACGTCGAGGGAAAAGGCAATCTTCTTTTACCGCCATAACAGAAACTGGTATCGAGGTGCTTAACCTGTAACTTACACTTATCAAATTATGCAATATTACATTAAATCTTTATATGTCATAACAGTTTTATTTCTTTCGTATAATTTCAAACGCAACAAGTAGAAGATGTTTTCAAGATTGTTTTGGTGATTAAGACTATCTTGCTAAATATGTCGGATTTAAGTATACTTATTTGTAAATGAGCTACATGTATATAAACGGACAGGTAAGTGAATATGTTGATCTATAATCTTTTTTAAAAGCTTTGTATCTTTCGCTTGTATTGACACCCCACCTCCACCCCACCCCCTTTTTTCAGATTTTTAGTATTCTACAAACGAACCAAAATAATTAAAGTATTATACTTCTAAATGGTTAAAATTGTTATATTAACTTATAACTGATATTTCATTCATAATTATTGCGAGTCATAAATTGACATGAAAACTGATCTATTCTGCTTTTAAAATCCGGTAGAAGAGCCCTTAAAATGATGTCATTATCGAAGGGGATCTCCCTTTCTTCTTACTGTTCTAGAAACATCTTGTCGCAAGGAGAAGAGAGATACAGGAAGTTCATAACCAAATACTTCCACGCCCTGGTGCTTTGATATGGTATACTCACAAAAACTTTCCTCTTAATGTGTGCTGTGTTTACAGATAATGTATTTCTAGTTGTTTTGCAGATGTGGGAGTTATTAGTAGCAACAATCTGATACCTTCTTAACACATGTATTAGTAGTACGTTCATTCACCGTATGGTTCTCTAAATTGTAAACTTCACAAGTATATATATACACCGACCTGTTTAAAAACCTTTACTGTGGGATTCATAAAGCCTACACTTATTATAGTCCAAATGGAAATCACCTTTACCATATTTAGAAAATTTAATCTATTTTTATACACATTGATATCAATGTGTTTACCTTAGTTGTTTAAAAGCTTTGTATCGTGTAACCTGACCTTATAATCCTCATTTTTCCATGCTTTATTTTACATTTGTTGCTTTTTTAAGTTGTTGAAGTAATCCGGAAGAAAATCGTGCTTGGCGTTGTTAGGAAAATCAACGGGAGATTATCAGAAAAAGAGGATTGGCCTGTGATATCTATCAAGTATTAGAGGAAGAAAAAGAAGAAGAAAAAGATCAAATATCTAACATCACTTTCCAGAACGTGATTTACATGGAAATAAACAAAATATTTCATGCCCTGAATGATGACTTTATGCAACATTTGAATTGGAAATTGTATAAATTATTGATGATTGAATATTTATGTTTCCATATCCCAAGTGATTAACACTAGTTTCAATGACAAAACAAGAGCTAAAACAGAAAACTTGGATTGCATTAAGAAGGGTATAGCAAAATGTAATCAGAATGCAGCAAAATGTTTTTGATGAATTCACCTGCTGGTTTAATCATATAATAGAGTAATTGTGTCATACAAACTCAGGGCTTTACCACTGGCGTTAAACTCACAAGATCGTACGATTTCCTTGTGTTTTAATTCCGAAGTCCTGTACCACAAAGCAACGTAATGCCTTTGCCAGTTCAACCACGTCGGTTACGAACAGAGAATGTCCAAGGCACAACAGTACACTTTAGAGAAGTAGACTATCAGACGGAGGAAGGTGCATATGAGGATGAGCGCTTGGACGAAGTTTTAGAGACGGGAGTGGACAGAGGAGAAGAAATTGGAACAGTCGGTTGTGGACAGTTGGCTGTGATACAAAGTGTCTCGGGATACTATGATGAAGAGGTCAGTATTTTGATAATAATCAAAATTGATCTTTTAATTGCATGATATTTGGTGAAATGACAATTTAGCAATTTCAGATAGTGAAAAGGACACCCATACGGATAAAAGTATACTGTGCATTTCAAGTGATATTTAGCGGTAAAGCGTGAGGAAAGATGAAAAAGATAGCTAATGTAGGAATTAAGAAATGATGAAAAGGACAAGGTGTACTTTCCCCATAATTCGTCATATTTCTTTAAAACTAATACCAAATTAGAGCATGAAAGGGGTATCATCGGTGGGTTATGACTTTAAAGATAATTAATTCCTTGCAAAGTTACAATTTTGGCCACATTTTTATAAACTGAATATTATCATTTATTCGTTAGTAGATTGTAAACATTATAAGATTTATTTTATTATAATATGTTATATTACTTTAAGCAACTCGTCGACATACACAGTCAGGAAAATTCAGAAGGCGGAAGTGGATTGTTTGGAAATAATCAGGTTGTAATTATAGAATTACAGAGAAGAGGACACGATATCACTCTTATTCAAAGAGTCATGGACGGGATTTTGTCAGGTAGACCACCATACAGTCACTCCATCAACCAATCAACTTAAATACCAAATGAGTTCGTGTTTAGCATTTGGTTTCTTAAGCGAGGAGCAATTGAATTTTATTCGTTTCCATTTGCCATGAACAATTGAATTTCATGCATTGCATAAAAACATCTGTCACATTTGTAATGCATCTTGAAAAAGACTTTTCCCTTCAGATGTCATATGTCTTCTGGCTTAAAACCTATTGTACGTATGATTTCAGAAAGACCCAATTTAAGATTGACTCCCGAGTATGTGGAGCGTGAGATACAAAGGTTACGTGGTGGTATCCATGATCAAGATGAATCCAGAAATATTGTGAAGACTGGGACTGTCTCAAAAGAACAAGGTGAAATTATATAAAATAAACATATTCTGTAATAATATGGAGAAGCATTTTTTTTTAATCTATAATATTTTTGTTTTAAATGATATTATGTTTTTTATTATAAGAAAAACTATTTTGAATATTAATCGCGTCAAAATGTCATACCACACATGTTTATTTCCTATTTCGACACATTCTGTTTGTTTTCATTTGCATCACCTCATAAAAATGACCAGGCACAATATGGAATGGAATTTTCTGTCCGCCGTAATCTTTTCTTTTTCTCGGAAATATCCGCCCACAGTTTTCAAACGATCTCTTTTAAACTTAGCATACTCATTAACCATTATATGAAAGTGTATTCACCTGAGTAGTAGTTCGAAGATCTCCTCCCTGATATTTCAACTTTTCAAACTTCGTAATCTTAATCAACTTGACCTGAAGTTGATTCACTTTACAATAATGTTATTCAACTGAATTTTATAGAGTTACTGCCCTTTTTTGATTAATTTGTTTTTCTCTCAGCAAGATAATCATGTCTTGTCTAAGTTTTAACCAATTTCTCTTAAACTTGGTAGATTTTATAACCATGGTAGGAACGGCATTTTAATTTGACAATTGTTAGAGAAAAACAATTGTCATGAATTTTGTTAACCTTTTGTCTTGTGGCATATTGTCTCATTTTTTTCATGCATTTTGGTTATGACTTACACAGTACAATTTTAATGTCCCTTATTAGAATTTTGTTGCAACCAAGGGCAAAGAGTTTCAAGAACACATTTTTTTTATTTTACAGATATGAAGGAATTGCGTTTGGAGAATCAAAATCTGAAGGAAAGACTCACTTGTAAAATCTGCAAGGAAAATGAAAGTTGTAAAGCATATATTCCATGTGGCCATCTAATCAGCTGTAGTGGCTGTTTCAAAAACAATAGAGGTACATGTGCAATCTGTAAACGACACATCGACCGGGTCGTAAACGTGGTAGACGATGTATAACAGAGGAGACTATAGACCTCAACAAAACATGGAGAAGCGCATTGCACGTATGGAGAATCATAAACAAGGATTTAGAATGTGTCGTCTGGTGGTGACTTGAGAGCATTTCTTTTGTTGGTGTTTTCGGACAACGGTTGATAACATCAGTAATTGTCAACCAATCAAGGCTATTCTAAACTGTTACGTGACTATGGGTGAGCATTTAGAATAACGATATGGCAGGAGGAACAATGATATATTGATGTGTGGTTATAAGACGTTATTTTCGAATCGTATCATGACTATCAAATGATAGTTTCGTATCGGACTATGAAGATGTGTTCATAAGGCGATAATTTTGTATCGTACTTACATTATGATGTCAAAAGTTCTTTAAATTTTCATCTTGGACATGTAAAGCTGGATAACGAACAGTATGTTGTAGTAACGATGTTATACCAGTTTTCAGGAATCCTTTGTAGAGCTTTCCTGCAACAGAATGGCGGAGAAACAATGCACTCTAAAGCCAAATGTCTCGGTCTTACAACTAAATAAACGAAATGATACAGAGTGTGTCTGAATATATATGAACGGATATGTCTATTTGCGCATGTGATAATATCGCGGATAGGATGGGAACTAATGTTAAACTAGGGAGTTGTTGGTCACCACAACAAAAGTAAATAACAATATAATAGCTGTTGGAGGAACGCCTTATATCCGTATACCTAGCAGTCTAGGGGAGATAACTATGTGAAAAATACCGAATTTATTTTGTTAATCTGAGACTGATAAATGAAAAGCATTTTGTGATATTTGATATGTTACGGTATTTTCACTTGTGTTATTGTGTTACTGTAGGTTTCCCTGATATTAAGAACAAAAATAATGTCCTAACATTTTCAAGACTTCTTGAGGATGTTTTTTTTATAATTAAAAAGGAGGGGGTCACTGTGCTTTAATGTTTGTAATTATCTCCCAAGTAATCAAGCTGTAATATTTGATTTGTTATTTTTCTTTTTTTAAAGTCCTTAAATCGCAGAAAGAGGACCTCCAAGTTGGAATTCACATATACTGGACAAAATAAGTTAAGGATCATAAATTGTGACCATAATATCTTTAAAAATTCAAATCATGTATTGCCGGTAATTGCACTCGTAGTTTCTCCAATATGTACCTAAAGTCATGTCAAAGGTGAAAGCACGTGCATCTGAAGGTCTTGCCGTTCCGCTCTAGTTAACTATGGTGGTGTGAAAAACTGACTGGTCTATTACTACAGAGGAATCTTGCAGGTTTTGATTCTGTTACTTCTAAGCTAAAAAAAGTTGAATTTGGAAACATTTAATCAATTTGTAACGAAAACTTGAAAAACTAATCATGCGAAGACATTTAAATGATATGGAAGCCGCGCGAGCTATAGGGCTCCTTCAAGCTGGTCAAACTCAACGAAATGTGGCGGCACAGCTTCATGTTTCTCAGAGCGTGATTAGTAGGCTATGGAATCGCTATCAACAGACAAATAACGTCCGTCAACGCCCCAGATCTGGACGACCACGCTGTACGACAGCCCGACAGGACAGATTCATTTGCATCACGGCACGACGTCAGCGGTTTTTGAGTGCTCCTGTCTTGAATCTTCAGTTTCAGCGTGCTACAAATCTAAGGATTTCATCCCAGACAATCAGAAACAGACTCCATGCCTCTAATTTACGAGCTAGAAGACCAGCAGTCCGACCAATTTTATCCAGAGGTCATCGACAATCCAGACATCAATGGGCCATTCATCATTTGAATTGGCAATTACGTCATTGGAGAAATGTTATGTTCACAGATGAGTCTAGGTTTTGTGTTGACTTCCATGACGGTAGGAGGAGGGTATGGAGAACCCTAGGAGAGCGCTATGCAGACTGCTGTGTTGTCCAGCATGATCGCTTTGGTGGTGGGTCAGTGATGGTTTGGGCAGGGATCAGTGTTGACTTCCATACAGACCTCTACATCATAGACAATGGATCTTTAACAGCTGTTCGATACAGGGACGAGATTCTACACCCTATAGTAAGGCCCATTGCAGGAGTTGTTGGCCATGATTTTATTCTGATGGATGATAATGCTCGTCCTCACCGTGCTCGTGTGGTCAACGACTATCTTCAACGTGAAGCAATCGTTCGCATGGACTGGCCAAGTCGTTCTCCTGATCTGAACCCTATCGAGCATGCTTGGGACACCTTGCAACGCCGGGTTTCAGCTCGACCTAATCCGCCACAGAACCGCCAACAGCTTATGATTGCTCTGCAAGAGGAATGGCAGCGCATCCCACAGATCAGCCACCGACGACTAATAAGGAGCATGTGCAGACGTTGCAGGGCAGTTATTGATGTCAACGGAGGTCATACTGCCTATTAAACTGCCAATTGCAGTTTAATGAGTTTTTCTTGTCTACATGATTAACTTGCTCTACTTCCTCTTACACTTTGATTTCAAGGGTGCTGTTACTCAGGGTTATCTGCTCTTGGTAGCAATTACCACAAATGAATTTGTTTTGTGTAATTAAAGACTAAAATGAATGTTCTGTCATTAAAATTTAAAATATAATCATATTATTATTTGTATGTAAAACTGCACTGTTTCAAGTTTATGATCCTTAACTTATTTTGTTCAGTATATGTTAATATATTGAGAATTTTGCCCACAATCCAGCTTAAAGTGAACTTGATGTTATTTATAATATTTTGGGTGACAATCCAGGAAATGTGATTTAAAAATTCCGAAAGGTCTCTATGGACTTGATTCGACATATTCTGTACTGAGTTTTCTCTTGTTGGCAGCCTCTTGCCTGTCGTCATCTAAAATACAGATGCGCGTTCGCGTTAAATCGTCCTAAATAAAAAAAAACATTACAAAGCACATGGTCAGAAAGAAATATGAATAAAAATTTTATTTACGTTCTCACATGAGCACAGGTTTGAGCATGAGCATGCCTTTGGTTTAATAAATAATGAAATAATCTGGATTGAAAAGATATTGTTCAAAGAGATAACTGTGATAACCAGTGGTAACTGCTAATGTTCAATAATGAATTAAACAGAATTGGGATCATTCTTTACCATTTCCGAATTCAGATTCAGATTAATTTCTTTTGAATGTTACTTTTGCCTTCAGAGCTCCTGTTTTTTCAATGACAGCAGTGTTTTACTAACAACTGTTTAAATATTACTAACCTTTGAACAGCTGGGTCCTGGTGGTTAGATCTAAGACCATTATCTATCGTAACTGCAGTCTCCTGTAGATTATCCCATACACACTGAAAAATAATGCCGTGTTATGAATTTTATGTTACAAAAGTTAATCTAAATCTCCTTTAGTTATTAACGATGATCTAAACATATATCCCATTAACAAAACCGAATCTTTTAAAGCTATTTCATGACATTATCAGTATTCCAAATTAATGCTTATGATTTACCTTTAAAAACAAGAATTAAATTCATCTGGCCTTATTCTCCTTGAACTTTTTTCAGAATTTTCCGTCTTTCTTTTGTTGATATTTTACTCTAGTTTTATGGTATATGAGTTTGGAATATGATTCTGATGACATGTTGATATTTTCTTCTTAATGTCTGTTCTAAAACGAGAAAAGAACAAAATCATATAAAGCTGGGGCAAATATGTACAAAAGAGAGATTTACACGGAGAACCATGAAAAAATACAAGGACAATAAGACCAGGCGTTCAGGAAGACTACACGTCTTCTGTTTCACCGACGGATACCAGTCATGTAAGTCTTGGTCAATCCAAATTGATAATGTCACGTTCTCAAAGAAAAACAAAGTATACTGTAAAAGAACCAATCGGCAAACTAACGAGAATCAAACACGTCCTGCTCCTTATAACATAAATAAATAGAACCTTTCTCAATGAGATCACTATTTATGACCGTAATATTTCCCCACATTTTTCGTCAGCCTGCATCTCTCAAAAACCTGCAATATTAGTTTGTCTCTCAGTTGTCAATCTCTTGCACGGTAATCATGATATTGGAATTAGGCCCTTGAACATCGAAGTAAATGCGACATGTAAACACTTTGGGCTGGGAATGCAGGAATATTGTTATCCACAAATGGAAAATGCATAATCGAGAAATTGAAATCACCCTGTTTATCACACCGCTTGGTAGAAAGCTGTCCATGTTGGTTTCGTTGAAGGAAAAGATCGAGATAAGCAGCCGATGTAGAAGGATTTCGAAGAATCTGTCGTGTATACGATGGACGTGGTCTAGCAAATTTCTTGTTATCTAAGGACAAGACGACATCATCTGAAAGTGCAAAAGTGAAATGAAGGACTTAGGTTCTGTGTCTGTTTTGTTAGGCTCTTCAATACATTCAGGCTCGCATAAAAAAAACAACGGTAAGTCAGCAAACAATTATTTCCCAAAGACATGCCAGTGGTTAGATACAGTGGAGCCAAGGAATGACTTTAAACTGTATAATATAGCTTTATTTCCGTTCTTAGCTTCGTCAGTGATGCTATGGGCCTATTTTTTGATGAGTAGAAGGCGACAGAGGGAAATTTGATAGAAAGAAAATCAAAATCTATATGAAGAGGTGTACAAGCCCCACACCTCTATACATTTCGTAATTTTCATACATCTAATAATTTTGAAACAACGTAATATGATGAATTCTTACAAAGCACGCTACACAGTCCCGAATAGAATACAGATATACATCCACAATGCATTTTATTGTGTTTTTCATGATCATGTTTATGAATTTTGTAACATTAAAAAGCCTCTATCAAACACAAGACTGAAAGAAGTAAATATTGTGTACTTTTGTAACCCTAAAAATCTTATTCGCAATTGTGTGGCTGGATCGATTGCACAAAAGACCAAAAATATAGGCCATTCTGTGTTATACTTAATGAAGTATATTTCTCAAAATGGGAATATGACAGCTCTGTTAGTGGAAGAAATGATATACCAACAAATATATGAAGTGTATAGATTTAATTTGGGCTTAACCCTTCTAATCCACCAGAAAGTATTGTCTGTTGTGATAGGAGTGAGCATTTTGACAACTGCACTGACTGGATGAGGTTTCTTTCTCCATTTACCTCAGCATTTTGAGAAGTTATTAGAGTAAATACACAATCACAACAACTTCTTCTAAATACACCACTGAACGCAGCAAAAGCTACCCGTTTTGTTAAAAGTATATTTTATGAACATCATGCGGCTGTCTGAAACACTTGGACATTCCACGAATGACGAAAGAGTTTATGTTGCATTTTCAACCATAACCATAACAGTCCACATATGTCAGAATATCGGCCTCCTTTTCATAAATATAAACAGAATGTGACGAATATAAATGTCTATATATACCATGGAAAAACCAAGCCTCATCACACACCGTGTCCTTCCGCACAGAAAAACTGTGTCAAAGTAATAATCTTCCACTAGAATACATATTGTACAACAATTCTATGTGAAAGTGTATGTGCATGTGTGTTTTAGAAAATATCGTATCAACTGATCTAAAATGACCTGATCCTGATGAACTTAATTGCATTTGTCGTAAAACCGGAAGTATAACTGTGTCTGAACTACTTTTTCACAACTTGGACTAATCCTGTCAGAGCTGGAAGGACTTTCTTGTTATTTTTCCGTTGTAGCGGTAAGTACAGAATTTCTAAACTCTGAACAGCGATATTAACTAGACTCCGATGTCACCTTGAAATACACAATATTTCAGGAGAATGAAGATGTTTCCAAACGATGTGAGAAAATAACTTTAAGATCGGTATTTTCGTTTTAGTAAACGTTTCTATTCATGACATTATATATTAACGCATATGATCTTTTCAATTTAACATTTTGAGAAAGTATATTTCATGTATTTACATTTTGTTGTCTCATTTGAAAGAAATATAATCATATTTCCATTATACATGTATATATACATTTAGACTATTTTTAACTACACGTGATACGACTGCCATAATTCACATTCTGGTCATGTGATTTTGTTTATTTGCTTTTTTAATGCGATGTTATTCAATGACCTACCCCCTTGTCCATGCAACAGGAAACTCACAAATATGCCGACATGGCATATGATACTACATTATGTACTAGATGTCTATTTATTTATAATCTTATCTCTACCACTTCTAAACGATTAAATATTTGGGCTTGGTTACATGTGTGTAATCGACAATTCCAAACTAACAATGAATAACTGCTCGTCAGGTATAATGACACGAAGAAATCATTTTGGTTTCGCACATGCAAATGTAACTACCTCCCTCCCTCCCACCAACATACCAATTATAACCCACCAACATACCCACTCAACTAAGATTGTTTCTGGGGCTTTTTAGCTATGATAAGGACCTAAAGGGAAACATCAATAGCAATTGAGAAAAAAAATCAAGAACGATAAAAAGATATCAAGAAGCAAATAATGAGCTGCATTAACCCTAAAATAGAGTTTATTTTAGAAATTGTAATATTTTAAAAAGTTAACCAAATACATATGTATATTCTAAATTATCTGTTACAATATGAGAAATTATTACAACTTTTAATGATCTTCAAATTGCAGAAATTTGAGAGCTGTCCTGAAATGGATAGAGGGTTACAAATGTGGCAACTTCCTCCAAAGATTACTAATGGAACAATGTCTGTGTGCTGCAAATTTATATATATATTCACTTAGGAAATAACATATACAAACATCACAGTTCACCAGAATATCATAATCCAATTTTTTTTATTTGTTTTTTTTATTAAATTTACTTTTATTTGACTTTTTCCATCATGCCTTTATCACTATATCCGAGATCAAATATATCAGTAGAATCTGATGCCACAAATAACGGTGAAAATATTGAAGAAAGTAGGACAGAAAATCTTGGCAAAGGTTTGGCAGAGGCTTCTCACAAGCATCCAAACAGCACGGAAAGGACAAAAAGTGAACACAAATTCCAAGATTACACGGTATGTTTTGTTCATGTAGTTGACTTCCTTTCACTGATATAGAATTGTGTTTTGTTGTCTTTCTTTTTTAGATGTTTACATTATTTCAAAACATGACAGTGACAATACATGTATCCATTCAATTCATTTTTTAACATCTCCTTCGCCATCATCATCATTATCATCATCATCATCATCATCATCATCATCATCATCATCATCATCATCATTACCACCAACACTATCATCGTCGTCGTTGTCCGACCCCATCCCGACCAAGACATAACTTTCTCATTTCGATTATGATAAAGACAAAAAATTCCCTTTGATATCAGGCTTACACAAATATTTTCTCTAGGGCTAGTTCAAAAAGACAGAAAGAGAAAACAACTGGTGTTATCAATGAATGCATTGAACATTAAAATATTCACAAATTTTAGCAAAAATGATGCGATTTCTTAAAATATTTTTAAACCAAACATTTAAATCAAACAGTATATGTATATACATATATATATATACACATAATTCTAGATATCTTCAAACTTTACTACATTTTCGGATTCCTTTTTCATTTAAAAATATTTTCTCTTTATATTTAGAATCACAACTCTTCTAAAAATGGCGGGGAGTCAATTTTGAATTTAGATGGAGAATATTGAATAATGTATACATTCTATTATTTAAATGGTAAACTGTCACCCTTTTATGACACATACTTATATATTCATTCATATTTTTCAGGGTCAGGATTTTCCTCGCTATGTGAATTTTGATAATGACCAAGATGCAAAAGGTGTAAACACAGTTGATGAACAGAGTTGTTTTGCAGGTACTTTACTGAGTATAAAGTATGCTTAGTTCTAAATTTAAATATATCTCATTGTCATATTAGAATGTCAAACTTATAAGTGGCCATTCCCTACATAGATATACACAATTATGAAATAACAATAGTCACATGATAAAACATAACAATGTGAAATATGACGAGATTAAACAACCAATCTATCATGTTTAGTTCTACTTATAGTTTACGAGAGAGAGAGAGAGGGTGAGGGTGAGGGAGAGACGCTGGGTTATTTCAAAAACGGCATAGAATTCGAGAAATCGATAAGAATTAGTTTTTTTTCTATAATTCTATAATTAATATGTTTGTATACATTTACTGTATCTTAAATAATTATAACACGCTGTATCTGCTACGCTGTGAACAGTTTATCTTCGATAGTAATATTGAAACATCTTTGTCCACAGATGAAATTAAAAAGACAGGCAGATCGCAGACGAAAGCCTTTGGAGGACACGATCCAAACAGCGTCGTTAGAGTAGGGGCGGTAAAAAGCATAACGCTCCAGGGTAAATATAATGAATTAATCATTAGGTCTTCTGACTAGAATACCGTTAATCTGGTTGTTAACAAGGGTCGAAATTTTCACACTTTTCATTTAATACACATTAAATTTTAACCAATCAAACTTTCACAATCTGGGTGTAAAAGGACATGTAATACATATTTGTGTCATTATTATTTTACGGGTTAAATTTTTGCGATCACTTTAATGTACCGCGAAACAGCGAAAACATCATCACCGCGAAAATAACCAGTTTTACGGTAGGTGTAAATGTCTTTTAGGAAAGATGCATACTGTATGATATCTTATCTCGAAAAACGTATTGATTAAAGGATTCTTTATTTCTGAAAATAATATAACAATTTGTTATCATTTTATTAAATTTGGATATCAAGATCCTTTTCTTCTTTATAATTTTCAAACTTAATTTTGGATTTTTGAAATTTTGATATAGTTCTCAAATTGGTTTTTATATTGGAACAGGAATGGAGCATATGAAGAAGGAAAATCGGGAACTGAGGGACAGAGAGATGTGTAAAATATGTCAAGCTAATAAGGTTGTCATCGCGTTCGTTCCTTGTGGCCATCTTGTTTGTTGTGAGAGATGTGCTGACAGAATCTCGGAGTGTGTGAGCTGCAAGAGTGTCATCAACAAGCGTGTTCCTGTTAGAAATGAATAGACAGATGCCTGGTGTAGGGTAATCCTAGGAAAGCTACTTGTTAGGATCGTATGAAAAACCATTTGTTGGAGGAAAATAAAATATCGTCCTTATAGATGATACTATTCGAAACTGCAAAAATATTCTGGAAAAATGATAATAAAAATACATCAAAACAATACAGGAAAAAAAGAAATGAAAAACAAAAAAAAAATAAAGATAAAAAAAAATAATACAACAACAAAAGGGAAGAAAAAAAACAAGAAATGAAGTCAATAAATGATAGATAAGATATATCATACTTCTACATACTCTTGTCGATATTCTGGAAATCAAATCTATATCCTGTATGAGATAAATATATCCCAGAGAGAACCAAACAACAAGAAAAAGTCAAAAAAAACAAAAAAAATTTTTAAAAAAAATTATAGAATAACAAAAAAAAAACAAAAACAAAAAACAAAAAAAAACAAAAAACACAAAAAAAAAAAAAAAAAAAACAAAAAAAAAAAACAAAAAACAAAAATCCCAGAAAGAATAAAAACAAAAACAAAACAAAACAAAAAACAAAAAACAAAAAGAAAAAAAAAAGAAAGAAATAAGATTATGATTATGTATATTATCATAAATGATATAAATATGTCCTAGAGGGAACAAAAAAAAAAAACAAAAAACAAAAATAAAAACAAAAAATAACAAAAAAATAACATCATTGATTATACTTAGATATGCTGTTGTCATGTCGGTATTTTGAAAATCAAAATGTATATCATCATGTATTCAATAAATATATCCAGGAGCTGCCATCTTGTCGGTTGTTATATGTGAAGGAAAGACAAACAAGCGATTAAGGTTTTTAACAATTGTTAACTATTGAAAATTATTGCATTTAAATTGTAATGTTAGTGCACATATCTATTGGGTTGTTGACATTTATTTTAATCAGTCCAATTGCGATTTTTCTCATTTGCCACCTTGTCTTCAATTATTTCGGGTCTTAACATCACTGACGAGTCTTTACAAGGACGAAACAACAAAATCACATTTTAATATTATTATGAACATTCATCCTTTGGGATTGCCCTGCGGTGAACTTCAAAACGGACCTGAAAGACTTAGGATCACCTACCCGACAACGTGGGGTTTCCCGGGGTTCTCCGGTTTTCTGCTACGGTGAGACCTCTCGCGCACTGACAAACAAGCGTGCTTAATTAAAGAACTATTTGGAAAAGCTCCTGTCACAATTGTTGTAAAAATATAAAGCTTCATTTTAATTTGAATGCTGTGTTTTGTAACCTTAGATTACTATCTATCTGTCTACATCCCGTAGGTATGTATGATGTCATTTCTCCTTTGTCATACAATACGCATTCAAACATCCGGTTTTAAGTGAAATTACTCCGATACATAAGGACGGATGCGGAGAAGTGTTTAACTCGACAAGCCTCGATCAGCTAGTTCATGTTTTCCCTTTTTTCATTCGTGCATTCTCGTCCTATGTCTCGGTTTTCTCATGGTCAATAATGATTGTGAAGACGAGAGTATACACTCAAGGCCAGAACAAAGGACAAAGCCGAAATATAAAAAAAACGACTTCTTAGTAACGTGGTGAGCAGACCCACTGGAGGGAAGAATGGCTTATTGAGATTATTAAAGATAAAATGTAATGATAGCAATACCTGCTGTACATGCTGTCCGAGTACATGTTTTCCTTCGTTTTCCAAATATGTTTCCTTTAGACGGTCTCATTAAGTGCATTGTGACCGGCCGACTAATAGGACAGAGTTGAAAGGTCATGAATGAATTCTCGGAACTCCGGGTATGTATAACCGGAAAATTGAAAATACGCTTCGCCCTGTTGTCGGCCATACGTATCATAAACACTGACGGGTTGCCGCTGATATTGAGGGAAAAAACCTCGCCAAGAAAGTCGACACATTACAATAAAGGAATACAAAGACTCAAGGGTAAATATTTCATGTAACCATTTTGAATATTAAGAAATATCCATTACGTGAGAAACTAAAGGCACTTATGCGTTTATTTGAAAGCAAAAATAATTAAAACAAAAAAAAATGCAAATATTGAATTTGTGACCTGGCCAATGATATCTTTACTTGCCTGTATCATAAAAATGTGTCTGAATGCAATCAGTTATAATTACATGCTAATATAAAGTCCTTACAGCAAAACCGTTCGCGTCATTTTTAGAAATATTGCTTGGTTACTCACATCTGCCATATTTGTGAAGTGCTTGACATACCCGATCTGACGAGAAGGGGGCGGGGCTTAAGTCCCGATCGACGGTCGATCAGTAGTAGCCACATACACATGTTGCACTTGAGACCTTCTTTATCCAAATGTCTTCCAGAGAGAGAAAGAGAGAGAGAGAGAGAGAGAGAGAGAGAGAGAGAGAGAGAGAGAGAGAGAGAGAGAGAGAGAGAGAGAGAGAGAGAGAGAGAGAGGGAGAGAGAGAGAGAGAGAGAGAGAGAGAGAGAGATGTTTAATGTACGATAATCAATTGCATATCAACCAAAATAAATATATTTTCAGATTGACAACTTGTGTGACGTCATTCACCTGAATTTCCCCCATTCCTTTGATAATATGTATGTTAATTGTGTGTTGATGAAGACTAAATACACAACAACGATGAACGTATATCAATAAACCAGATGGAATCCAGATGATTAATCTTCTTTCCATAATTAAATTTACAGCAGTTATTTCATAATTGTAAATAATTGAATAGAACGGTAATTAGGGAAAGAAATCATGAGATACATGATATCGTGATTTTGTGAGATAGCGTATTGTGAATGTGTGAGATATGATATCATGAATGTGTGACGTACACTGTCTTTATTTCATGAGACTTTTCTTTCGACACTTAAAATTTTTCTGGATCTCTTCCTAGGCTTGACAAGTTATACCTTCAACATCACTTACGAGTCCTGGATGGATGAAATAACTGATACAGTTTAAATCCTTGTCTGACTCTACTTTATTCTTGCATTTAAAGATGCTTTTCCCTTACGTGTCTTGTATACAATTATACGGTCAGTGAAATACACTACAGTTAATATGTATTATCATTAATACACTGCACACTGTACAGATTACGTGTATTATAGATGATGGAAAATACTGAAGAGGTCATGTTGAAATGAAATGACAGTCTAATTGAACTGCTGGGACAATATGATGACTTTTAAAAATATTGTTTAAATATTTTATTGATTTTTTGTTATATATTTATTATTTATCTATTTTTCTATTTATTTCTATTTCTGTTGTTGTTTTATTTGTTGTTTTTCTTTTTGTCTTTCTTCTTTTGTAGAAATGCTGAAATAATTGGTATGGCTGCGAAATACCCTGACGACAATCATGCCAAGGATTTGTTAGAAAGCCAAAAGAAAGTACCACATCCGAGTACTCTACGTGCACCTTGTAATACCCTGGTACTGGATGAAACATCTGATGATATAACAAAAGATGTAACTCTGAGAGGATCTCAAGTTGCGACAGTATATGTTCGTTCCTTTTCAGAAGGAAGTGGGGGCGAAACTGCAGATATTTCCCTTAACATAGAGAATTCAAACTTTGCTAAACTGTTTCTCCTGTCGACAAATATTTGCCAAGATGTTATGCGAGAAATTATTCGCAGAAAGAATCCAACTGGCCCAGATGACCCTGATTTGCATAAAACCATTCAAGACAGTTCCAAATTAAAGGAAAAGGTAGATAAGCAAACCAGAATGCTTTTATACCCTGAAGATGGAAGCACAGTTAATTGTGCGCATTTAGATTTTACTGCAATGTATAAAATTGCGAGACATGCATTACCGTCATACATTGCACCAAACCAACAATGGTCAAATTCACCAAAACCTGGGGCTAAATGTTTGATGACTTGTATAGAAAACCTTCGTATATTTCGGAACTCATGCTCACATTCAGCTAGCGGATCTATCACCAACGCTGCTTTCCAAACAAAAGCTAAGGAGGTAACAGAATGGATTACACAGATAGAAAATCTACTTCAAATACCCAACAAATATACCCAGCGAGTGAAACACTTGACAAGGTCATCGTTTTCTCCACGGGTAACAGAGCTAGAGGCAAAATCTGTCAATCTGGAGAAGCAGATAGATAGACTGAAAAAATCCTTGGTGAAGCAAACAGAAATTAAAGGTTTGTCTTTTATAAAGTTATTTGATAGATGAGAAAATAGTACATATTGCCTTGCCGATGTTGATTAGAGTAATGGGTCAAAATTATTATCACTATAATTATTATTACAAACACAGATAAGGCAGTCTAAATGTTTGTTACAAAGTCAAGAAAATTTATGATTTAACTGACAATACATTGTGAAGTACACCTTCAATCAGCGTCGGTTTCTTCTTTTTGGTAAGTTAACTGTCGATTTGAAGAAGAAACACAATGTGTTAAATATTATAAAATATAGAAAGCATCATTTTGTATACAAAAACAGAAAATGGACTACAAATGTATATTATCATTACGAGCCTGTCAAATACTGTGTTAATCGTAATTTAATATTGTATTTTCTAATTTATGATAGAATGGTTTGAGGAATGGAAAAAACACAAGCAGGAACTCTTAGATGTCCACAGTACACTAGAACATCTCTACGAAGGTAAATGGATATGGTTTTTAGTTTGATGTCCTCCTGTAGCATTCTTCCTATTAAAACACTGTTAATAATTGTAACTAATTGTCCGTCACGTAAACAGATGTAGATATACGCGTGTGCTTTTCCAGTACATTACGTTTCAAACACATTTATATGTATATTCTAATCTATGATTCGTTATTTCAGGCGTAAAATCTGATGATAAATATATTGTATGAACTCCAATCTATGATACGTTATTTCAGGCGTAAAACCTGATGATAGATATATTGTATGATCACCAATCTATGATACGTCATTTCTGGCGTAAAATCTGATGATAAATATATTGTATGAACTCCAATCTATGATACGTTATTTCAGGCGTAAAACCTGATGATAAATATATTGTATGATCACCAATCTATGATACGTTATTTCAGGCGATGATAAAATATGGTAATGAATACATTGCTTGAACGCCAGTACATGGCACGTCATTTCGGTCAGTGTAATAAGGTATTTTTGTTTCATTTAGCTTCAAGTGAAGATTCCGAGGTGTTGCCATTACTACAGCGAAACCTGTGCGTAGGTATTGGAGGTAAATATTTTATTCTTAAAACAGGTAATTATTTGCAAAAAAAAATTACGTTTTCGTGTTTTTGATATTATCATTGAAGCAAGAAAGACATTTTATTATGCCTTGCTCTTAGAAACTTGATGGATGCAAAACGTTTACTAGGACCATTTCTTCTTATTGAATCATTTGTTTATTTTCCCCAAGTTTACTTGTTTGATAATCACAAGGTTGTGGAAGAATAAACATTTATGAACACCGAAATATTGGTCCGTTTTGGGTCATACAATCGTATTCATTTTCAGAACATCTAATATTCTTTTGGTAAATTACGTTGTAAATGTATGTTATCATGTGAATAAGTACATTTATTGTTTTCAGATGTGATGAAAGAAAAGCTATTAGAACGACAAGCAGACGAACAATTCTTCGTTGAAACCAAAGGCACGCGAGCAGCCATGAAAGTATTGAATCAAAACAAACGAGTGATTATAGCAGGACGCAAAGGTAAAGGGAAAGAGCGTCTTGCTCATCACTTACTACTTGCCTTGTTGTCAAAATCAGAATGCCAGACTTATATTTTGGATTGTATTGGCGACGTTAAAACGTGTTTCAAAGAAAAATCAGACGGTATTAAGGTTGTTTTGATACATGATGTTTTCATAGACAAACAAACAAAACGGATCATTAACAGATTAGGAAAAGATATTTTTACGAGCAAGTCAAATAGATATCTTATCATTACCTCACTTTTTTCAACCCGTCTCTCAGGTTTAGAAAACGTCGTCAATTTATCGAATAAAGAATATGAGTTGTCACCACAGGAAAAAACCGACATTTTGAGGGCACATCTTGACCAATGTTCCACAGAGACATTTGTCTCCAAAACGCGTTTGCTTGAAAAAGACATAAATGAAATTGTGGACATAAACTGTTTGTTGGAATTCCCCCTTGCTTGCTGGCTTTTTACTTCTGAAGAAAAGTATTATGCAAAGGGAGTGAACTTTTTCCGATACCCTGTAGACTACTTTCTTGCAGAAATACGACACCTGGCAGAACACACAGGTAACAGAATGTTCTTTCATTTATTGCTCCTACAAGATCTTGAACAACCATTGCACTTTGTAAATGAAGAACACGGAGCTCCAATTTTTCAAGACCATATCAAGGAAAGGCTAGAAATGGAAAACTTAGAAATCAGCGACCTTGGAGACATTGGAGAGGAACTATCTCAACAGGGCATTCTCATCCACAGCATACGACACACTCAAAACGCATTTACATTCAGCAATGAAACAGTCCAACAAGCGGCACAACTGTGGCTTCTTGAAACAAATTTCGATGAAGCTCTAGAAATTTTGAGTTCTGATGCCTTACTCCGCTGTGTCATAGTCACTCCTAGATCGGCGGAAACTTGTCTGTTTAAGTTGAATTCTGTAACAGATCAACAATCAGTCGTTCAAAAGGTTCTGAATGATATTTCTAAAGATATCAGCAAAAACAGAAGCACCAAACTTTTGGACTCTAATTTAGATATTTGGTCTGACTTTGTCTTTGTTGACCTTTTCGTCTGTATTCTTTTCGAAAAGCTTGAACAGGAACCAGAGTTTCGCAGTTTGGTCTCCTCGATACTGACGAAAAGTGTCCAGAATAGATTGCATGTTCTCTGTATGGCGATAGTAAAAAAATTCAAAACGTCCAAATGTTTTGCTAGGGATAGTGAGAGACTTGTATCCCAAACGTTGCTTGAAGCTTGTCGAATAGAAGGCAGTATTAAAATAGTTCAGGAACTCGCTATCTGTGAAGCCGATTTAAGTTTCTGCAAAGCATGTAGGCCTGGCTCTGAAGCACAGCATATATCTCCGCTAGAATGTGCGGCAGATGCAAATGATCATGAAACAGTTCATTTTCTGCTGGAGTCTGGTGCCACAATTCCTCACAGTAAGTGGAGGTTTTGGGATTTCGTAAAAGTAGCCGCTGAAAAACAAGACACATTTCTATGCAACATTATGTTCATCAAAAGTCTGTCTATGTTTTGTAGAAACAAACCGATATCTGTGAATTCAGCGTTAGAAAAATTCACAGAAAAAGCGTTAAAGCTTAACCCCGAAAGCGAATCAGACAGAAAACAATTTTTCTTTGATTGTCTTATATTAATTGGAATAAACCCCGATTTATATTCTGCCTTTACAACCACGTTTTTTCACGGCGAAAGACTTCCAAAAGGAGATCGAGGTGAAAATCCCTGTCACATGGTACTCGAATCCTCACTGAACCACGAAAGAGAATTCCGTACATTAGGAACACTAGCAAATGAAGAGTTTGAGATGCTTAATGAGAAAGACAACTCTGGCCATACCCCTTTAGCGAAAGCTGTTATACTTGGGAAGAGTAACGACATTTTGTCACAAATGTTGCTTCAAATTGCGAATGCAGATTTAAAAGATTCTTCCGGAAGGACTGCACTACATCTAGCTATTACATCGCCGAATGAGGACAGATGGGTTCTTAAATTTGTGAATGCACTTGCAAGCCCAAACATAACTTGTGAAGATATTATGACTGCAATTCCTATTCAGCTTTGCATATCGAAAGGCCGGCATCGCAAAGAAACCCTCAGACGATTGCTCGCAGTGAACGAAAAGGAAAACAAGTTACCACTTTCTCTGCTACATCACTGCATCAACTCGACTATTCCAGTAGAGGAAATGTTGGACGTCATGTCCGTCTTGAAAGAGTTTGGAGCTGATCTGAACACAGATGACGATTGTAACTGTAAGCCTATAGCAACTGCCACAAAGCGACTTTATATGAATGTTATGGACACGTTGATGAGTTGGAATGCTGCTATAGAAGATATAGACGGCCAGAAAAACACTATTTTACATTATTGCTGTTATGTAGATGCAGAGAAGGGTAACACAATTCTTGACGCATACAACAAGTATCATTCACAGAATGTCACAGCGATCAACAAGCAGAACGACTCTGGAAAAACCGCTCTGATGGCTTATTTGTCGGAGTCTGCAATTAGATTCGATACCAAAATCATCTGGCGTTTGTTGAACTTGGAACCGGATCTCTCCATTCAAGACGCAGAAGGAGACACAGTATTGCATTATTTGATGCAGTCGACGCTGGCAGATGGCGATGTTTTAAACTTTACCCAAGTTATGGTAAACGATTTCTGCTTGTCTGTTTCTGTATGCAATGCACGTGATTTAAGTCCACTGATGTGTGCACTTACTGCCAAAAAGTCAAGATTCGAGACAGTGAAGTTTATCTTATCATTGCAAGACGGTGTAAAACCACGGTGTCCTTTGCTACCCGAGGAAATGGGGATACTTCATCACTGCATTAATAGTTGTATGTCTGATGACGAAGTACACGAGATATCTCATATGCTGATCGAACAGTGGGGCATTTCCGCAAACAAGCCTGACACGACGGGTGTGTCACCATTATCCGCATCTATCAAACATTCATTGTCACGACGCAAGACTATCGTGCTGATCTTGAAACATTCCGAGAGAGAACTATGCACTAGTATTCTCTCTGATCTTATCAAACACGACAAACTAGATGCAGATATCGTTGATGCCATGCACAAGGAGAACATCCCAATTTTCAAAACAAGAAATCAAATAGACCATTCAGTATTTCATTATCTCATCAACAATGCACGCCATTTCCCGACATTTCAGGATCTTTTAGTCTCTTTTTTGCCTTTCGGACACGATATCAATCATGTTGACTCAGAAGGATTTTCCCCATTATATCGTGCCTGCAGAGATAATTGCCCAGAACCAATTGTGTCCTCTTTGTTGTCGAACGGTGCGAATGTACATCTAACTTCAAGAGAAGAATCGGCATTACACTTGTGTGTCCAGTCCAAACGAAATGATGCCGACACAAGAACTATTGCTCTAGCCATTCTTGGCAGTAGTGATATAAATATCAACGCCCGCGATTCCTATTACGAGACGGCTGTGGCTTCCGCTGTCAGACGAGGAAAGGTTCTCACTGTTAAGACATTGTTAGAACATGGAGCGGATCCAAACATACCTGACAGAGAAAACAAGACAACATTGCACCATTGTGTCGAAGGTCTTTGGTCTGACCAAAACACTTGTGAATTTCTACACCTACTCCTCCCCAAAGTTCATATTGATCAGACTGATGGAAACAAATGTTCGGCTCTAAATGTCGCTGCTAGTCATAGCTCCTTTAGTAGAATCTTCAGTATCCTTACACTGATTACCGCTGGCTCTAACATCAAGACAGTTGACCGTCAAGGCCGCTCACCCTTACACAACACTGTCAAATGTTTGACAAGTCAATTACCCTGTTGCAAGCTAGAAAGAATATGTCGGCTGCATGTTTTCCTCAGTCACGGTATGAGTCCCGTTTGTGAAGACAACGATAAAGAAAATGCAATTAACGTTTGCATCAAAGAGAATATGCAAGACGAAAAATACCTGTTGAACAAAAATCTCAAAGCTCTTGCTATCTGCGAAAAGATCCTCAGGACAAATTTAGTTGAGGTTAAATCAGACACCCATAACTTCACATGTACCGAGAATATCATTACACGCGTTTTAAATGATGAAATGTGTGAAATGCTGAAGGATATCGCAAGCCGCTTACATGAAAAAGATATTTCATCTTGTTGATTTTCAATGTTTCAACTTTTTTTACTCTTGCCAAGAGGAGATTTTTTGCAGACTTTGAAAAACTTTCAAAACGAAAACTTTGAAAGAAAAGTGTCTGAATGTTTCTTTCATTCCTTTCGAACTGCAGTTTGTTTCCTCAGTGAATTCTATTGTAATTAATAACAATGTCATACTAAACTCAACATTATTACTAGAAACTAGAACTTAAAAACTCTAACCCCATGATGTGAGTTCAATAGATTTATCCCATTGAAATTATTTGTGTGTGCGTGCTTGTACGTATATGGATGTAGCAACACTTTGTAATCATTTGTAAATACAGGATGAAACTGAGGTCTGTGTGACATGAGAAAAGGAATTTAAAAAAAAGGAATACAAGAAGTTCGATTCTAGGGGAAAAATGACAGGAATGGAGACTTATCAAAAACAAAAACAAAATTTTAAAAACTCGACAGGAATTGAAAGTAAGCCTTCCTGCAGAACTTCTTGAAAATATGTATGTAATTTTATCAAAGAATGTGAATGTCTTTGGGGTTTTTTTTTTTCTTTTTTTTTTCGGAAAAATCGTGTCACTGTTTTGGTATATATCTTTTCTCATGAGCGATATCGTTTTTACCTCTTAGTATTCTGCATGTTTGTTCTTATTATGTTTTTAACATTAGCAGTTTAGACAGATAAGCGTTTTTTTCTTTATTGAATTAAATATATATCATCATTTGTATGCCTTGTGCTGACATTTTTTTTATCCCACATTCTCTGTATTTTTCAGAGTAGTATAGAAAATGGAATGAAAATCAAGTTTGTTTACACATTTTTTATAATTTCTGTGTGATAATTAGCACTTGAAGATAACCAAAATTTCATTATGTTGCTCTCTCATGATATTTTTATATCTTACGATATTTTTTATACCTTGTTCTGATATATCCATACTAAAATATGTACTTATTTGACTGAATAATTTGCTGCGTCATTCCTACTACTCATGTATATATATCTGATTTTTTTTTTTTCAATTTCATGAAACGAATCTTAGAAATAATTTACTTTTTCGGACTTTGGCGGGCAAAAAATTAAAACTTTGAGACGTGTTTTTTATGAAATTTAATACGATGTGATGATTTTTTTATTACCAAGCTCATGTTTTTTGACATGTTTAAAAGTGAAAATGTTACGGAAAAAATAAAACGAAGGTAGCCATTTTGTTGCGCCATCTTTAATTCATTACGTAATGTCATTGACAACATTAGAATATATCTCTGACTGGCAGAGCCAATCAAAAACGACTTAGAGTGTGTTATACTAGTGGCATATGGGGAAAATATTACCTTGACGAATTCACCAGGTAATAGGCGGATTATTTGATTTAATGAAATATATTAATTAAATTTTACATATAAAATAACAGTTAGTAAGAAGTTACATGGTGAATGTTCCACAGCGTGACATTCAAGGTATCGTATCAATAACATATATTGAGTTCTCGTCTTAGTTGCTACCTAAACAATTGCTACATTATTATGATAATTAAATACTGTTAAAACTCGCCTTTAAAGACAGACCCGACAATAAGACCGTTTTGTTGTTTAAGGTAATGTTTGTAATGTTGATGTTGTTGAATATATATATATATTTTTTTAATTTTGATGTTTTTTCGTGTTGTTTTCCATATTATATTTGTGACTTTATAATTGATATACATTGTACACGTGTTCAACAAGCAAATACTTTAATATAAAAGGTACCAGACCGCATTTCAAAATATATTCAAATAAATTTTATTTCAATACTTATTATCAGGTAATCGAATCAACTTCATCAAAACAGATATGTGAACCGAACATTGATAATAATTTCATTTGTCATTTTTACTTGTCATACAATGTCTTACTTCTTAACAGATAAACATTTTCATGTAATTTCGTGGAGTTAATATTGTGTGTTTGGTTCCGGTTGTGGAAAGTGTATGTCGTGCTAGTCCGTCCGTAACGGTTAACAGAAAAAATAAAACATACACATGCGCATTGTATGCAGGTGATAGATACTGCTTGTGGATATTTTGTCGCTAGTGTTTTTGTTTTTGTTTTTATTTTTGTACCCTACATGCCACGTTTTAATTCATTCGAATTACGACACGGTTGAGAATATACACATGTATTTGACTTTCTTCTGAAACTGTCAGATAAACAAAAAATAACCAAATTTATGGGGTTTGTGCATCTAGATTTCAACATTTCTTTTCATTGGTATCAAACGTTAGGCCCTTAGCATTACCGACGGTACCTAGAAGGACAAAACATCTTTATTGTGTAGTTTAATTTATGGTTTGGCTCTACTGTTATCTTATTTTGTATTATCTAATTTTTCAAAAGTTTTACATACATATATATATATCATCATCATATCGGATGTTAAATTAAGCTCAGAATTTATCTCGCATCTTCAAAATTGAAAAATTCTACTGGTATGGAATGAACAATGATATAGTTTGATGATTAACATATACAAATACATACATGTAGTAAATGCATAATACATGACTCATCATATTTTTATATTTGACACAGCTGGTATAAAAATATTAACTAAAACGTTTTCTTGGTTTGATGTTATTTTCGACTGTTAAGCATTTCGTCGTTTTTCTAATAGGAATAAATTCCATCTCCTCTCCGATTTTTTTCCAGTAAGATTGATATCTGCTTCTGAGATTTGCAATAAGAATGATTGACGGGTTTTTAATTTCGTGCAATTTTTAGTGACAAAGAGAGATTTTATTGAACAAAGAATGTTTAAAAGCGTTAAGTGGAATTGCACGTTTATATCATGCAATTTTGGATTTGGTGAGAAATTTGACTGATGGTGTAAACACATTATCCACAAATACATGTTCTTCAAAGCTTTTCATGTATATGCGCTTTTTGATAATTAGTCCAACTTCAATATCTCGAAGTCGACGGAACCAAGGAAAATTTCGAGAACTTTGTGTATTCGATTTAAATTTAAATACTTCGAATTAAGCGAAGATTTCGCGTTATACGAGTTCGAGATAACGAGGTTCGACTGAGTATCTTATTCACTTAGTCTGTGATCAATTTCAGGTAACCTGCTGTAAATTTGATAGAGAAACCATAATTTGCTCTTCATTGATACTGAATTATACCTTGATTTTTAAAATAAAGTTTACACTATAAAATAATTAAGCTGTTTTTGTCGTTTCTATATTTTCATTTTATATTGTGAACAATATGTAAATAATATGTTTGGAGGGTTGGGGGTTGGGTGGGAGGGGGGAGGGGGAGGGGGAAGGTTTTTTTATGTTTTGCTTTTTGTTTGTTTGTTTGTCTTTGTTCCACTCGTGTGAAGTGATGATGCCACTGTCCTAATTAGAAGACGAACCTGCAATAGACATCTAACTTAAAGCCCATTCTAATCCTAAATGAAACATGGTATAATTTGAATGTTATTAGATCTGAAGAGAAAACAGAAAAAAAACATAATGGAAATTTTCATCTTCATCATAAAGTTAACACGTTTATCGAAATATCACAAACATGAGACAAACACAAATTTAGTCCACAAGGTTTCCCGTTACCTGCATGCCTAGGTAAAATTCATCCGAATCGTGGCACGATGTATTTGACGTTGTTCTGATATTGTATACCGAGTCAAAAATAAAGACAAATCTATTTGTACCCCCTCCTACCAACGTTTGCATGCTTACCGCCTCTCAAGATTTGATGACACTACAAATATTTTGACGTCTTTACTTCATGAATATTAATGAGTTCAGTCTTTCTTTTGGTATCCAAATGTTTTCAAAACAAAGAAAATCACTATTTAGGACACTGCTGAACCCCCCCTCTCTCCCCCCCCCCTAATTTACCTAATCTGCATAATTCATAATCTAGTTTAAGAATTGTCAGGGAAACATACATCTGACACTGTATATGATATAGCTCACGCAGTTTCTGAGTTTACGTTATCATGACAACGAACACACGACAAATATGAGTTATCTGCCCGTGTTCATTATTAACATCAGATGAAGTTATGTCACGTGTAGAGGGCAGATCTTGTTGTACTTTTGTCTCCATTTATATGAGATTAATCAAATGGGTATTTCAAATCTTTCATTTCACCGAGCCTCTGACGAGCAAATTGAAAAATTCCAATGATGATGCGATTCATTCAAGATTTTGTTTATCACGTTAGTTAGATACTTTTACAAACATTCGTGAAAACATTTTATCAGACTCTGTATGACTTTCTTTGATGACGTCACAATACATTACGTGTCATGAGGCTATATGACGTCAAACAGAAAGATGAAAACCTTCATGGTCATGTTAAGCGTGTGATATAAAATATCGAAGGAAGGAATGTTAATGAACTGAAAACAAGTTAACTAGCGGACTAGTCTTAAAAAGGAAAAAAAATATGATAATTAATGTGATATATTCCTGTATATCGCTTGCAGTGTACCCGCTGTTCATTGCCAAATTTGATGTCAGTTGAGTTTCCATTTGTGAAATATTTCATTGTCATAAATTCGTTTTAGGTACCCTTCAGAAAATATAAGCAAAAAATAAATAAATAAATGAATAAATAAATACTCTTTTAAATAATCTTCAAAAGTGCGAAAAATGTCTATGTCCCTCGCGCGTCCTCAGGGTGGGTGTATATATTTAGTGTAAACTCCGTGTATACTACCTGTATAGGTGTCTATACTAGCTACAGTCCGGTACGCTGTATTTCTAATTTGCATAAAATCGAGGTCAGCGGCATTGTATGTGTGCAGTGCGTGCACTGAAATGAAGCGGATGAGTTTATATGTATGTGTGCTTCAAAACAAACCTATTTATAGATAAATAGACGGATATATATATTACAACCTCGTAGTAACTGCAATCAATAACTGCACAGGGTTGTATATTGCCCGACTAAACTCGACACACATACGGAATTCCCGGAACCAAAGACGTGACTGTTAGACACAAGGA